ACAATTTAAACATTACTATTACAAAGACAATGACTAATTAGTCAAATAAAATGAAGAAAAAATTAATTAAGGTCAGAGACAAAAAAAAATTGTACTTTCTTTAGGCAGATGGAAGAAAACAAGTCTATCTTCATTAATTATGTAAACAAACTACATATTTCATAAAATTTAGAGCTGTATTTAAATAAACATGAAACTTAAGGGAAAATATTGAAATAAAATTAGTAAACAAAATATTTTACTTACATAATATTATAATTATTACACAGTATAATATACTACATTTTATTATAATTTGCAAGTTTCACATCACTTTTACTCATATTTAGTTTATCTTTTAGTGTATTTTGAACATCAGNAATAAAATTAAATATTAATTTAAGGAGTGTGTAGGATAAAGTCATATTTAAATTTGGTGTATGTTTACAAAGTACGTACTTTGTATAATAGCTCCCCATCGTACAAAATCGTACAAAATAGCAAATCCCCTCCCCCCCTTCGGGTTGTACGTACTTTTTGAACGGCCCCTTACATCCTTAAGAGTATATTTATAAATTATTTTAAAAAGTATTTTTTAGCATAAATTAATGTTTTCTGGGGTGATTTAATTTTTTAAAAAAAAATTGAGTTATTTAATTTATGCTAAGCCTGAACACAACATTAAACATTTTTAAATAAAAATTATCAACGTAAAAAAAATAATCATTAAATTGTCAATCAATTAAACTCTTAAAGAGCTTTATGAAGTACGTATCAGTTTTACTATAGTTCAAAATTATTAAAAAATATTGGCAAGTTTTTAAAAGGTACAGAAAATACAGCTGATGAAACATTTAATACATTGAGTGTTTCACAACAAAAATTAAATAAACAAAATTCTGTAAAACTTCAGATTAAATATTCGATAAATGTGTTTTCACTTTTTAATCAAGATCATCAAACTAATAAGCATTGTCAAACTAATTCAAACCTAGATAATCAAACGAATAAGCAATTTTTGAACCCTAAGGCTCAGTTTTTACTTTAACCGACTGCTAATTCAAATAATTTAATTTCTAGGACAGTTATTGACCTTCAAATCGAAATCCAGTTTCTTTAGAGAAATTGTTGGTGTCAAAAATGAAGGATCATCATTACTTTCTATCAAATTCCATATTACATACTTTTTACTCCATATTACATTCCATATTTTATTCCAGATTTTACTACATATTACTTTTAATTCCATATTACATTACTTTTATCTATCATCCAAGCTCTTCCTTTAATATGGGTTCTATAGATAATTCATGACACCTAAATATGACAATTTTAAAAAAAAATGCATTGTAAAATTCTGTTCGTATAATGCCATTTGATGCACATCAAATTAAAAAAAAATCATCTTTAGACTGTATAATTTGCTTTAGAAAAAATAATGAAAATTGATTCATTTTAAAAGATTGATTTTCTTTTTTAAAAGTGGTGTCGCAATTCGTAAGTAAATTCAGTTTTCCTATTGATTGAAATAAAAAAAATTAACAAAAAACAAACAATTGAACTTAATGTTATTTCATTGCTGACTTTATCACTTTGGAGAATTGCCTTAAATTTCCTCCTAGTATATTTTACAAAGCATAAAATTTTTCTTTTATTTAGCTTTTTTAACACATAGAAGAGTATTATTTGATGCTTTAGAAATACCATAAATTTTTTAATTTTCTGTTTCCTTGTTATCTCATAAAATTATGCAGTTTTAAAGCTTGGAAGCTTACATAAAAAAATTTATTTAAATAAGTGTTTCAATTTGTTAATTGCAAAGTCTCAAACTATGCAAATGTATTTGAAAAATTAAAACTAATGATATTTAGGAGAGTTTTAATAATTCATTTCTGTACAAAAATAAAACAATTATACGAAAAATGGAGAAAAAATTCATGATTAATAGTTTGTGGTCAGAAAGAGTTATCGACAATACCAACCTTCATCTATCAAAAGGTACCCAGAGATTGAATCAAGTTAGCATGTCTTATATAGTACTAGTGAATTGATGTTTAATAATCGTTGTTGTGAGAGCTGTATTAAGTTCACTGAGTTTTGAGAGTTTGCAGCGACAGTCGTACTAAGTTCACGGCTATGTGTCCGGACTCTTCTGAGTTGCTATCAGCCGTCGAGTGAGTGCAGGATCCTGTTGTGTGTAAATGTGACTGAGAAGCAACAGCACAAAGAGGACACAATAAAATTCGATGAACGTATACAACTAATTGCCGTCTTTGCAAAAGACGGTGAGAGCTGTATTAAGTTCAGTGGGTTGGGAGCTGCACCAGGTTAATTGAGCTTTGCAGTGAGAGCTGTATTAAGGTCACTGTTGAGTGTGTGGTCTCTCCAGTGTTGCTATGGGCAGTATAGTGTGTGCAGGATCCTGTTGTGTGTAAATGAGACTTAGAAGCAACAGTGCGAGGAGGACACAATGAAGCAGTCACAAATAGCAAGTCAACTGTTCAATGTGAACCATCCATTAAAGTGGACATTAAATCTCAATTATCACGACCGATGGTCATCAATGTGGGATAATGCCAACCTTCATCTGTCAAAAGGTAACTTAAGATTGAATCAACTTAGCATATCTTATATACTACTGGATTGATATTTAATAATCGTAGTGGCAGTTGCGCCACACGTTCAAAGGAATAAAATTTTTAGAAACTGGGTTTTTTCCGAAAAAGCATTGAAAAATTACATTGTTGATTGAAAAAAAATTGATAGGGACTTTATGAAAAAAGACTCAAAAGTTCATAGAAACATTACTGTAGCAGATCCTGATAATGTCCACTGCAATTGCCAAGGTGCCACTAATCAGTACTTGCAACAAATTAAAAAAAAAAAAATTCATGCCAAGAGAAGTCCATAAATTTTACCCTTCAAGCCAGCAACTTCTCTGAGTTTTGTAAGTTTCTAAGGTTGCTGCCAAATTATTATTGAAACTACACCCATTTTTGTACAGAATCTGCTAGAAAAATATTCCAAAGTTCAAATTAGCATTCAAAGTTCAAATCAGAAAACAATCAATTAAAAACAAATGACAACTAAAAAAAACAATAAAAGTTGACAATAAAAACAAGTGACATTTAAAAGCATCAATCAGAGTTTTCAAGAGTAATGATAAAGGGCAGGGTGCTTATTCACAGAATAAGGCACATTGAACTTTGAAAGTGCACTCACTTACCACAGCAAAATGCGTAATAACTGAGTTTGATCCTCAATTTTTAAAATACCATCTTATACTACTTTATGTGTATATTTCACAAAATTATTCTCACCCATTATCAAAATAACAGAAAAATCCAAAGCTTTTGAAAAATAATTAAAGGCAAACTAAAAGAAAATCTTTGTGTTAAAATTTCCTTCGCAAAAAAAAGTAAACTGAAAACAAAAGAGTTGATAAACTTTAAAGCTTTTTTTTTCTTATTATTTTAAACTGAAATTTACATTTAGAAGTGCATATTTAAATAACATTACCATGATTTAAAAAAATAATGGTAAAATTTAAAATTACTAGAAAAACCCATTACACTCCCTTTCCCCTCTCCCCCTTAAAAAAAAAAAAAAAGATATGAATATCTCTAGGGTTGAATATCTTGTGAATTTTAACTATGTATATAAAAAAAATCTTAATGAAATGAAATTAAAAATAAAATAACTATGAATAACTAAATAAATCAGAAGTGTACTTTTCATTAAAACAGGAGGTTAAGGAAATAACCTTATCTTGAAAAAATAAAATAAAAAGGCAGTGTTTTCAAGGCACGGCAGTTTATTTTCAGAAAAAGAGAGCACTTATAGGGATTAAAAGACAGGCGAATCTGGCCGTTCATTTAAAACACTTAGAACACAGCATCAATGACATACAAAAGGTGGGTAAATGCTCAGTGACATTTTTTGATTAGACACTCCTAGAAATAGGAATGTAATTAGTAAAGGAAACAAAAATAAAATCTAAATGAAATTTTAAAAAAAATAGGTAATAGAAAATAGATTCATAAAAATAAAAATCCATTTTTCATGTAAATATGAGCAGAAATTATTGTAACCATAAGCAGAGCTCATTCTAGGCAGAAAAAAGGGCAGAGTGCAAAAGTTTAAAAAAAAGGGACATTATTATTCTAAAAAGGCAATAATTTCTTTCTATGGGCCTTACATGTTCTATTAAAAAACATTATCAATTAGTAAAAGAGTTTTTTTTATTTTTAATTTTACTAAAAGTAGCAAAGCAATCATATTAATTACTAATTTTTATTAGTAAATTAACATATATATCGAGTTAATGAGCTAATTATCTTAGTAATTTATTTAAAATGCATGCATATACTAAAAAAATAATAAATGTATGTTTTTAAGTGTCAGTAGTTATGATTTAATAATTAAAATGATTAATAATTATGATTTAATGATAGTGGAAGTAACTGCAAACTTTCAAAGATAAGTGCAATAAGGGGGTGTGATGGCTATTTTTCCTTTCCCATATAAATCTATGTATTGACAGCAACGACAAACTAAATAAAAAGCGTTGAAAAGTTTAAGAAATCCATTGTAGAGTTTGGTGAGAAAATAAAGAAGGGTTGAGGAAAGAAAGGGTCTGGACTCTATTACATCAGGGCACTAATTTACTTCAGGGGCAACAGGGTGGATCCTTTTGACTAAAAGGGCAGCAGGGTGCTGCGCCCTGTTTACCCTGCCTAGAATGAGCTCTGACCATAAGTATTTCCAAAATAATATCTTAATTTTGTTTCAAATGTAAAGAAAATTTAATTTTATAGAATATATTTATTTTCATATTTTAACTCCCTAGAATTTCCTTTATTAATTTTGTTTAGAAACCTTACTAATTTCTTAAGAAAATCTTAAATAATAACAAATTTAATGTTTTATTGACATTCAATTTTGTCAATTGGATCAGCCTTTATTGGCTAGATGCCTGGAGTAGATCTTCATTTGGCTCTCCAAGAACCTTCTGCATGCCCTTAAGGAACTTTTTGACGTTTTGTATGGTGTTCTAAATTATGTTTTTCACAATTTACTCTCTTTGTTAATTCCAAAGAAGCTTCATAACCATATCTGTAGGCTAGAGTGAGATTTATCATGTCACTTTTAATTAAATATGTTGCCAATGTTTGAATTGTATCACTGTTTAAATGCACTTTATATTTTTCTAAAGAACAATCAGATATCTGCTGCCAAGTGTAAATTTTCTCATTACATAATTCTTCTAATATGCACCTTTTTTTCAAAGAAGCAGTAATAAGATCTTTACAATAAGGGTATTGATTAAATTTTGATAAAACTTTTTTAGTTAGAGATGTCTTTAAATCATCTTCATTTACTTTTGCACAACTGCAGCGCTCATTTATGTACAAAAATAGAGTACAATTTTTACTTATCCTTTCTCCCCTCATTGCAATCAATTCTCTTATACAACCATTTCTGTATGCAACCAACTCACGATAGTATCGTAAATGCTCACAAAATTTTAAATCAAGAATTTTTTTTGGCAACAAAGAAGAATAGGTATTAAAATCAGTTAAGTTTGGTTCTAGTTCAGCCTTTGCCATTCTTTTGATGAGAATATACTGTAACAAAAGCTTTGCTACAGGCAATTCTCTCACTGAGTACCCTATACAGTCATTAGCATTAGCCCCAAACTCTAGTAGCATTTTTATAGAATTTAAAGATATACAAGGGTTCATGAGAGCTACTTTGAGAATACTAATATTTTCATTATCAATTGCATTGACATCTGCGCCATTTGATAATAGAAGATAAAGTGAGCGCTCTTGAAAATCTTCTTTCATCGTTTCCAGTAAAATATGTAAAGGAGTACGATTATGGAAATCACGATTATTAACTTGTCCTCCATATTCAAGTAGAACTTTTAACATAGCATATTGAAGATGGCTGTTTCTACCAGCTGCTGTGTGTAAAGGAGTTGTGTTAAAATGCACATTATCAACTCGGGCACCCTGTTTTAAGAGTTCAATCACATTTTCCACGCTATGGCCATGGCATATAGCGAAATGCAAAGGAGTGTCTCCTGCGAGATTATTTTTGTTTAACATGGATGGGTCTTCCTCTAAAAGCTTTCTAATTTCGATAGGGTTGCAGTTCTCGTTGGCTACAGCAATCATAAGTTTAGTGTTTGAAAGAAATTTATTTACAAAAAAAAGTTGATACCGGCTCATAATTAATATCTTACAAGTTCATTTATTATTTTTTTATATAATTCCAGTAAATTGAATGCAGTAGTTATGATAATCCCCCCAGTGTATAGAAATCTTAAAACAAATCACTCTTATTCAACTTGTGATAATTAAAATAAGCAGCAGAATTACAAACCGGAACCAAAACATCTAACATTATTATAAGGCTTGAATGTTAGAAGCTTTAAACTGCCTGTTTTTGTATCACCAAGAAATGTTGAAACTAGTTAATTTTTTAAAATATTTTGACTGGGGGATCTATTTTCAATTTTTAAAGCATTTAAATAATGCAGATATACATGTTTTACCAATTCTTTTCCTTGATAAAATCGTCCCGCAGTGGACTGATCGTTAAGGCACGGTTCCCAGCAGATCACAGAAGTCAAGCATCACTGACTGCGGTCAGTGTGCGGGTGGGTGACCACTTGGATCAGTCTGCATAGGGACCGAGGGTGTTGGCGTATTGGTCCTCGTTAAACTGTGCTACCGTAAAGTGCTCAACTTCGCGTGCAGATCGTCGGGCTACTGAAGCGGGGCTGCCATCCCCTCCGCAGAGGATTAAAATTGTGATGGCGTGTCCAATTTTACATTCTGATAAAGTTGCGTTTTCTCTCTTAAAATTGTTCGCGCGCGTGTCGTCGGGCTACCGAAGTGGGGGTGCCATCCCCTCCGCAGAGGATCAAAATTGTGATGGCATGTCTTTGGATCATCCTCCGGGATGTTTCCCAGACCGTCGCCAATAGCCCATTGTGCAGCTCTAGTGCGGCATAAATTAACAACAACAACTCTCTTAAAATTGCTGAGCTTAAAATAATCTAAACAATTGCGAAATTTAAATTTTCCGATTGTTATTAAATAAAATAATGACTTGTAATTATTATCAAAAAAAAATTTTTTTTGTTAAAAACTTTGTTTAAATATTTTGTCCAGTTTTCCCCAAATTTTATTTTGTTATTCTTCAGTTGTTTTTACTCTCTCTCCCTTTAAATTACCTAATTTAAAATAATCTAAAAACTTGTATCTTTCAAATTATAATTTTTCGATAATTATTAAATAAGATAATTTATTATTATTAAAATTTTTTGCCTGAAATTATCCTTGTTAACCCATTTTAGGCCAAGCATAGAAATTTTATAAAATGTGGTGTTATTTTAATTGAAATATGCTTGCAATAATTTGTCAATAACCGTTTTAAGTTAATAAGCTAGAGTAGCTTAAAAATTTCTCAACAGAAAGTGTTTACACGAATTGAAGAATTACTAATATTTTATCATAATATACTTCAGAACTCTTGACAATAGCAGAAAAATAGAATTAGTGAAAAATATTCGTCACAGTGTTAATAAAAATTATATATATGGAAATGGTGCGTCGGTGCACCTTTGGTCGAAAATGGGTTAAGCAAATTTTCTAACTGCGCGAAAAAGCTAATGTTTCGCTTAAAAACGTTCTCTAGATATGGGGAAATACCCAAAAGGAGAACTTTTAACTTTCAGCAATTTTCCTCATTTAACTATTGGGACCATATTTTCCAGATACTTGTCATATTTTTACCCATTAAAGTCTGCATTTTTTTTTAAATATTAAACAACACAAAAAGCTCCTATTAAAAAAAATGAATATAATTTTTTAACTAAATGAATATTTTCTTCTGTTAGCTACTACTTGATTTTTGAAAAGAATAAAAAACATTTGCTTGATGTGAAAACAGTCCTTTCAGAAGAGTTCAAAACAGAATTCTCTCAATTCCCATGTATATGTTACGCAAAGTTAAAATGGGTTTTGTAAAAAAATGAAAACTTTTACCAAATTATCCACTACTCATTCTGCCCCAGAAGAAATATATGGCTGACCGATGAGAAAATTCTTGGCTTCAAATGTACAGCAAACAGAATTAAAAAAAAAAAAAAAAAAAGTGAAACAGAATTAATAAAATACAGTAGGGAACCGATTATCCGAAACGATCGGGACCATCGCTATTCCGGATAACTGATTTTTTCGGTTTTCTGAATCGCTACAAAAAGCAGTTTTTTTTATTGTTAAACCCAACTGAAAATAAAAATATTTGGAAATAATCTTGAAAAAACGAAGTAATACACTAATGATTATTTCCAAAATGATGGTAAGGTAAACATCCTTCAAAAAAGAAAGAAAAATCCTAAAATCTTATGAGGAAAAAAAAAAAAAAACGGCGGGAAAATTTATCGAATTTCGTTCCGGTTTACTGATTTACGGATAACGGGTTCTGTACTGTATCATTAAATGAGAGATAAATAATTTATAGGTAAATATTTTAATTTTGAAACAATTGGAATCATGAAGTTGAAATTGTATGTTCAAATTCTTGATCTTGCAGATAATCATGATCCAGTTAATAAAGGAGAGAGACCCCCTCCCCCCCACCACTCATGAGTTACTCCTGTGGCCACTGGTAAAGATTGAAGAAAAAAGACCCTATGTGGACTTTTAAATGAATCACAGACACCCACAACTCATCCCATTTAAATTGTCTCCAAAATCACTGCCTCTTTGTCCCCCTGGACTCTATCTGTGATAAAATTCAATAATAGCCCTATAAGACATTGGGCTTTTTCCATTCAAATGTTTTTGAAATTTGATGTGATAAGTTAAGCTGTTTCCTGATGAATTCTGAGAAACAAAGATGAAACAAGATCACCCATAAATGTCCTATCCTCCATGAAAAGGCTTTAATTACCTTGACATCAGCCGAAACAAACGACTAAGGAAAGATTTGAATAGGTAGAAAAGAAGGAAGAACTAAAATAATTTATTTTTCGATTTTTTTAAAACCCATTTTAACAAAACTGAATTGAACATTAAATCAGTGAATTGAGTTTTTTCCTAAGAATGCATTAGTGGATGAGGTGGACTGAATGATTTTCACAGTGCTCATGAGAATTAATTACACAAAATAAGCTGTAAATAATGCCTTTCCCCCCTTCAAGAAGTTAAAACTTATAAATTAAAAAAAAAAAAAACAATTATTGTTGATAGAGTTCTGTAGATTTTTATAACCTATTTAACTTCATTTCTTTTTAACATTAAACAGAGATTAATAATCGCTGCTAAATAATAATAAACAGGAATATGTTTTTGTTAGTACGCTTTTGTTTCATAATTTTATTCATTAATACAAAGCTGAAGTATCATTTTGCTTAGAAGTATTTTTTTTTGTATTCCTTCTATTTTTAAAGGGGTTGACTTTTAAGAGGCCCCATGGTTTAAACTTTTTGAGGGTAGGTCATCATTTGTTTGTCATAAGCCATTAGGCAAATAAATTTAAAGAATCCAGAATAACAATTTAGATTTTACTTTATGGATTGATTTTCAAATTAAAGTTTTGACACTCTACTATCAATAACAATGTCAATTATCCTTTTATTAAAAGTTAATAATACATTGCTGCAGAAGCAAATTGTTCTGCATAGGCATAAAATATTAATACATAAATAGATATTTTACAAAAAGCACAGAGCATATTTATATATATGAAAAAAGGAACCTTATTTTATATACAAAAAAACAGTTTTTTTTTTTTAACAACATTTCACTTAGTATGAACAAAGGAAAGTAAAATATTTCAAGAGGTTGGGCAATATTCTTTCCTTAAAAAAAATTATAAATAAAAAATTGAGACAAAAATTAACTATACTAATTTTATAAATGGAATATTGGTCTCCTATAAAGTAGACAGGCCCAAAAATATTTAAATAATTTATGGCTTAAATTAATGAGAGCTAAACCTTTTTCAGTAGTTGGCTGCAGAGTTTTTTTTTCTCTTGGGCTCTAATGAATTTCATATTAAATAAAATAATTAATTATTAAGTGCAATAAAAGCAAGATAAATTTGTCTGAAAAATTAAAAGATTCAGTACATAGATAATACATAGTTCTCCCTAGGAATAAAAAAGGGCAAGGTGGTACGTAGCAGAAAAAGGCATTTTCAAAATTGAAAGGGCACTCACTTAACACTGTAAAAATTTATTAAAATGTGTAATATTATGTAATAATTGAATTTGATCCTCTACAATTTCTAAATTACCCTCTTTTATACTATTTTATGTGCATATTTCAAAAAATAATTCTCATTAAAAAATAGAGCATAAAAATAAATAAAGCCATGCACACATTTTTTTAAAAAATAAACTAAAAAAAAATCTATTTTTTTTAAATTGATAAACAACTTGAAAAGTGCTTTTCTATAATTTAAACTGAAAATTATGAGAAAAGGAGCAGTTAAAGGTGTAATTTAATTTTTAAAAAAAGGTATTTTATTAAAAAATAATTTTAATATCATTAAAAAGTTTCTTAATACCTCCTCCCCTCGAAAAAATAGATACTAAAAATTAAACGAGTTGAAAACAATCCTAAGTAAATACTTGTAATAGTAATAACAATTAAACCTGCTAACACAGGTAATTTTACCAGTGTGTAATTATTATTTAAATGGAGAAATTTCTTTTTTTTTTAAAAATGGTATATGAATAAAAAGGCAGTGTTTTCTAAGGGATGGTGGCTTATTTGTACAAAAAGGGCACATTTGTAGGGATCAAAGGGCAGGCAGTCCTTTGATCTCTTGCAGTGTTGCTTATTAAAATTTTTAGAAATTTACAGATCATTGACTTCAAAATGTATCTTTCCACAATCATGGTACATACATTAAATCAATGATTTGATTTTTTTTCTTCATTTTGTTAATTTATTTTTTCACAGCAAACACGATAAAAGTAATAGTTAACCTTGTAGATCTTTTTGCCATAATCAGTGAATAATAAACCACTAATTTTTTATGAAGCTATGCATATGTCTGAAACTTTTAAGCCTTACTCATATGTGTGAAATATCATGAAACTTTTTTTTTGCTTCATTATTTATTTCGCTTCTAATGCAGTTCTGCATTTGAAAACGTTAGGGGAAAAGAAATTCAAACAAATTTAGATCCAACAATAGTACAAATACTGTTTAAAGCAAGCAAGCGCTAAAGTTCAATCAATCCTGTTCTCTCATTGCAGTGCGACATCATTACTAGATCAGTTAATTATGAAAAATAGCAATATTTTCATTCAAATATAATATTTTTTTGAAATTAACTAGAAAAATGAATAGTAAATATGTGTATGAAATTAACTAGAAAAATAAGTAGAAAATTTTTGTATAAAATTAACATTTTTAAGGAAAAGAAAAGGACATTTTAATTTAAAGAACTAATGGAAAAGAAATTAATTGATGAAATTCAGCATGATTTTCTTTCTAGAGACTGATTTCAATCCCGAGAACTGAAGAATGGCACCAATGGCAATTTATTCTTATTAAATTGAGTGGTAATGGATGCAAAATTAATGAATGGACAAATATAGCTGTGGTAAAAGATTTTGCATGACCCCCGAAACAGATTAGTACAAAATTTTACATGTCAACAGAATTTGAAATAAATTAATTGGTTACTGTGATAAAAAAGCTACAAAGGCATTCTTGATTCATGTTATCAAGATTTTTTATTCGTAGATTATAAAATATATTGTTTGCTTATCAAACTAGTAACAAAACATCAAAAAACAATTCATTTTACAACTTCAAACGCTTCATGCACAACATTGAGTCACTTAATCCATCATGGAGTCGTTTAGTCGATTTAGAGGTAAATAATTTCCTTTTTGTTACATCTCTGTGATAATTTTCATTAATATAAGCTAAGGCGAGGTTGATAAGGTCTTTTTTAGTTACATATGATGCTAAATCTGTAATTGCATAATAATTCAAATAGATTCGCTTGTGTTCCAATGACTTCATAGATTGTACAGCATACAAACCATGTTCAGATAATATATTCAAAACATCGTGAAATTCAAATGCAGCATCTATTAGATCACTACAGTAGGAAAATTTATCATATTTCATGGATAACAATGCATCTTCAAATAAAGACCTGTTTTTATTGATATCCCTTATCCTAGCATTAGAAGACTGTTCAGAGATAAATTTAAACAATGTACAACTTCGGTTGATATTTATCTTTCTCATAGCCATTAATTCATTAATACAATTATCACTGAAAGAAGATAATTCCAAATAAATCTCAATGTTTGTACAAAAGCTTAAATCAACAAATTGGTCTGGTAATAAATCAAATAAGCCATCTTCAATATTTTTAAAAACAGTTTCAATTTTTTTTACAGCTATGTGTTGAATAAGCAACTTAGCAAGAGGTAAGTTTTGAATACAATATTTAAGATGCTCCTCAGGATTGGCGCCAAACACAAGAAGTGTTTTGATAATATTCAGAGATATGTACGTGTTCTGTATGGCAACTTTTAGAATACTGTCACTGTAATTGTCACATGCATTAGGATCAGCGCCTTTTTGAAGCAAAAGGCAAACTGATTGTTCTTGCACATAACGATTTTTAACTAACATATGTAATGGTGTTTGATTTTTATAATCAACACAATTAACATTTCCGCCAAATTCTATTAGAATTTCGAGCAGGTCATATTGATATTGATTACTGTTGTATGCTGCAATGTGCAACGCAGACATCATTGACCGTTCTACAGCATTTACGTTTGCGCCTTGTTTCAAAAGCTCAATGACAATGTCAAGATTTTTTGCACAATACACAGCGCGGTGTAAAGGAGTAACTTGAAAAATATTTTTCTGATTCAACTGCGAAGAATCTTCAGCAAGAATACTTTGAACTAAGGCAAGACTGCAATCCTTCGAGAGGACAGCAACGTGAAGTTTAGAACTCCAAAGAACGTCATCACTAATAACATAGTTTGGATTGGCATTTTTAAATAGTAATTTCATGAGGAAATCAGCATCAAATAGACCCTCGAAACTAAACACTGCATCGAAAAATATCCGCGCTTTCTCTTCAAAAGCTAACATGTTTTAAATTAATGAATACTATTTAATTTTAATTACATTTGTATTAATAGAATAGAACTTCTCAAATTTGTAATGCTTATGTTTACGTTACATGAAAGTTTAAAAATGGTGGAGAAAGGTTTCTTTCTGCCCGTTGCAAAATTCAAACATAAAAGCAGGCCGACTATAAAGCCATTCTCACTGTATCGAATTAAAGATAAGAACCCCTCTGATTGGTGAAATTTTATCTATCACGAATTACTTTCTCTCGAATCATTTCACGTATAAATGTTTTTTGGCATCGTTGATATTGATGCTAGAAAAATTCAAAATAACCTCTTTATGGCGGCTCTTTTAATTTAGATTGTTATTACATAGAATAAATATTCATTTGGAATTAAGCGTTTTATTTAAAAGATATTGTTAGACCTTAGGACTTTAGTAAGTGAGGGTGTTCATATTTTTTATTGACATCGCTTGTTTACTCTTAACTATTTTTTTTATCACTCTCAGCTGTTAATGAAAATTGAAGTTCTCAAACTATGAAGTTTAACGCTATAAATGCGATTGAAAAAAGTATACTGGGAAATCCCCATTTGATTAACTTAAATATAACTATCTTAATTATCACACTTATTTGAGCAATTGATTCCGTGATTTGAAAATAATGATGAGGAATGGAAATAATATTTCTAATGATATTTTTATTTTAGTTTCGTTGTATTTTGACTGATTTGTTATTAAAATTAAACTTTGATAAAGTTGTGGCGTAACTACCACTTTAAATATTAAATATAAATTCACTAGTATATAAGACATGTTAACTTGATTCTATCATGAGGTACCTTTTGATAGATGAAGGTTGAAATAGTCGATAAATAAAATCCCCTCAATGGTGATCCGGACGTGACTTGAACACGCCACCATCGATGAATGGTCCACATTAAGCTTGCTTAATGTAAAAACTGCTTAATGCAAATTTGCTTAATGTAAATTTGTTTAATGTAAAAACTGCTCAAAGAGAAAAGGAAAGACCCGGAGAAGTAAATAAAGCCTCCCGGTAATAAACAATATAGAAAAAAAATGAGCAAAGTGATATAAATTTTTTTTTAAGAAAATGAGCGAAATGCTATAAAAAATAATAAAATATGATGAGCAAAAATTTCATAAATAAATAAACAGCATGAATCATCTAGTGGCATTTCATTGAATTCTATCACAGATAAAATTCTGGAGGAGGAGTAATGTGGGGTAACTACCACTATAAATATTAAATATGGATTCACTAGTATACAGGGTTGGGTTTTTGACGTCAAAAAGTGGTTTTTGACATGACAAGGGTATAATACTGGTTTAAACCGTCAAAAACTGAAGTTTGCCAAGAAAATATATGAACTTCAAAACTACTAACAGTTGCCATGCATTCATTATATTGAAATTTAATTATACTATAGGTAATCAGCAGGTTTCAAAATATTTTTTAATTAAAATTAAGGTAAAATAACAGATTTAAAATCTTAGAAATTTATATTCGAATGCATGTGCAGAAAAATTTTGCACAAAAATTTTTTAAATATTAATATTTTGAAAAAAAAAAATTTTTTTTTTTTGATACTTAAGAAAATTAAAAGTTTATTACTATGCATTTTTGACATATAAGGAACATATAACTAATATTTATAAGGAACTTACAAGTTATGTTGTATAAATACAAACTTGATACAAGTGTATAAAAAATTTTTTTTAATGTTATACCGAATATCTTTATTATCCAGTATGTTAATTTGAATTTAAAAGTAGTTATATTTGTGAATAATGATAAATATAATTCATATTGTTTATTATATTTATTTATAATTATTACACTTATCATTTTAAAACAATTTTTATCTCTTAATTTTTTTTTCTCCACTTGTATTAAGAATACAAATAATGCATATCTTGAAAGCAAGAAGTAATTATTCAACAGCTGAATATTTAGATATTCAACAAAACTATATAGTATTCAGCAAAATGAAATTCACAAGTATTTGGATAAACTAAATTTTCAGCATAGTAAATGAATAGGCTGAATATACTGTAAATCGACACTAACTACTCTGTGTATTTAACAGAAAGCACTTAAATTTGTATTGTCTTATGTTAAAAAGATTATTAAGAAGATTTAAAAGAATATTAAAAAGATTTTTCTTTAAAAGATGTCTAATGTACAAAACTGCTAATGTTTATCTTTAAAAATGTCTAATTTTTAGTATAATCTATACTATACACTAAATTTGGTTATAAATAAATTTCTTAATAATATCACTGCAGATTTTCAATAACACATGAAAATGAATACATAATATTACAAAAGATGTGAGCTTTCAAAAGTGCAAGATTTTGGTTACTATTCAAAATATAAGTGTTTCTTCAAAATTTTAAATTGATTTTTTTCTAGAACATATTTAGAAACACTATCCTTTATAAAAAATATATAAATTTTATGTATTAATTAAATTTCACATATGAATATAGATTTTTGACACTTTCGAAATTTTTGATAGTGGGGTTTTTGACGTGATGGTTTAAACCATGGTTTAAACCGTCAAAAAACTGTCACATGTCAAAAACCTGCCAACCCTGCTAGTATATAAGACATGTTAACTTGAGGTACCTTTTGATTGTTGAAGGTTGATATAGTCGATAAATAAAATCCCCTCAAAGTATTGAAAATTTGAAATATAGAAAGTACTTAAAATTAATCCCTCTGTTTGCAGTAAAAATTGTAGAAATACAGCAGCCTAATTTAAAAACTAGGGTAAATTCTTTCTAAGTATATTTTGCGTAACTATTTTTTAGTAATAAATGATTTTGTATCATGTATGTTACTTATGTTTTGGACATTATTCGTAGATTAGAAAAATGGTTTCTAATAGAGCTGATGGAGATACTGATTCTAATGTCAGTAAAAGGTAAATAAACTATTTATTTTATTTTGAATTGACTATTAAATTTGCTAAAATGCCTTCAAGTGTACTTTTAGGTCGTATTATAAAAAAAACTAATAAAAAAATGTTTATATGATTGATGGAAATTACATCTATTTTTTATTCATTTAAACCACTTAAAAGTATATCTTATCATTAATATTTTATATATGTTTTTTTAATATTCAAATTATAACATATCATATTCAACATATAAGGTTTCATTTTGTTATTATTCACCATTATAGTTATATTAAAGATAAAATAATAAATTATAAAAATTACATTTGTGTTTTATTATTTTGTATATTAACAGTTTTTCACATTTCAATATTTTCTTAACATAATTATATTTGCCTTGTCAAGGAAACTTCTAAAAATGCAGGAAAAAAGAATTAAAATGAAAAACTAAACTTCAGCAAAATTCGAGCCTTAATGATCATGAATAAGTTTTCACAAATTAAAAATCACACTGACTTCACAAATTAAAAATCACTTTTATAATCTTTACACAATTTACCACCTGAGAAAAAATAAAGTAAGATTTAATGGAGAAATATTGCGTCTAAAAAGTAAAATTTTATATAAATTTATTAAATTAAAATATTAATTATTCAAAATAAAATTTAAAATGAAAGTCTTATATTGGAATTTAATTTACTTACGCTAATAAGGCTATTTATCAATAGGGATAAATTTAGGGTTTTATATTTATCGGCTGCTAACAAATTTTTGCAAGTAGAATGTTCTTCCTTATTGACTCAATAGCCCTTTTTGAGCCAAAATTTACTAAGAATCTTCTTTTCGCCAAATTGTTTTAATTGATGCAGTTCATTGTTTTAAAGTCTTCTTTAATTTCAATATACCTAATTTACTTGGGGCCTGCCTCTAATTGGGATATCAATTTGTTTGAAGAATGAAACTTTGGATGTCAACATATAAGTTCATTCTGAAGATGTCATCAAATCCAATAAGGTTTACTTTAAAGTAATTGTTAATATCTGTCTCTTGTATCTATAGTTGGTGCAATTCATTATTGTATCTGTGTCCCTATATACCGTTGATCTTCACTTCCCTCAAAATCTTTATAGCTGGTTAATTTTTTTTTTACCTCAACTATACGTGAACTCAGACATAATAATTATATAGCATAATTCAAACAGGTCAACAGTAAATAATAAATGATGTAGCATGATGTAGTATGATGTAGCGTTGATCTTCACTTCCCTCAAAATCTTTATAGCTGGTTAATTTTTTTTTTACCTCAACTATACGTGAACTCAGACATAATAATTATATAGCATAATTCAAACAGGTNAAACGGCTTTTTGTAGCGATTCAGAAAACCGGAAAAATCAGTTATCCGGAATAGCGATGATCCCGATCGTTCCGGATAATCGGTACCCTACTGTATTTAAAAAATTATATTTTATAACATATTGTTTTTATTTCTCTAAATTGTTGATTAGTGTTTTTAGTATTTGTGTTTACTTCAGTTCTTAGTGTTTTTCGTGTATTTCTTATAAATATGTACTTTTCTTTAGTAAATCTGATGCTTTAACTGATATGAGTGAGGAAGAAATGGTACAACATTTAGCGCTCTGTTTAAAGCTAGATGCTGAAAATGTAAGAATACTTTTTATTTAGAAATTCTTTACTAAGCTTTTTTAATATTTTCATAAAAGATTAACTGATTTTATAACGAAATGGGGAAAATATATTTCGCTATTGTATCTCAGAAAAATTCTTATACAATGCTTGCTAATTTGTAAAATAGAAATTCTATGACTGTTTTAACTACTAGTTAGTGTAATCAGCTGCTTAATGCCACCAAATCTTCAAGAGAGAATAATTTGTATCTGATAGCTTTCTTCGGAATTTTTGTTATGTAGCTTATACTTATATTATGAATTGCATTGAGATTTAATTATATATTTGTTTTACTTCTGTTACTGGAGTAGAGATTATTCTTATTTCCCTTTTTTGTGCCTGGAGTGGAGGGATTTTTGCATAATGATTAATTTTGTTTTCCTTTACTTGCTACTGCTTTTACCCTAACATGATGTTGAGAATGACGCCGTCTGCAAGCATCCAATCAGTCGCCGTTTTTGCATGTTTTCTCTGATCGTCACGTCTTTTTGATGCCCTCTCTTGTTTGTCTGTTAGCTTAAAATCTCAGGCAGTCAATTTTTTTTTCTCTTCTAGATAGGGCGTGTTACCATTTGCTTATATGCTATATAACATTTCTTCATTAATCCTACTCGCATCCACTGAAACAAAATAATTTACTCCTTTGTGGAAATTCTCTAAAAGCTGAAAGGGCTTTTGAAATTTCCTGTATGTATTTATAATGCTTGTTTTTCTTTTCTTATTTTATTGAGTTTTTTTTAAAATCCAATTATATCTCTAAGTTATTATTCTAACGCAAACAGCATAAATGTAAATTGTCAACTGTAAAGTGCAGTGATTAATTGATTGTGCTTTATTTTTTGCTCCAAACACAAACCCTAAAAATTTTTAGGTCATCTCATATCTTTTAGAGTAGAAAAACTATCAAAGGTGTGTGGGGAAGAAGGGTGCATAAGGAAGATTGTAACAAACATTTGCAAATGAATTAATTATATGTAAGAACTATTTTGCTTACCATAGCATATTTGTTATGTTTTACTGTATTATAAATAATATCAGGTATTTTTCTTATGGAATTTTTGTTCTTATATTTAAAAAAAAGCCTTAAAGAGAAAGTGCTCTAAATTGCTATACATCTAGCAGAATAATCAATCCCTTCAAAACTCTTTATGCTTGGAGCAGAACGATTTACCTACATTTATAATTATCAAAACATTTGTACTAGTTGAGTTATCAAAAGTCTTACTGCAAAACATTAGACATAATTATGCTTTTGAGCAGAAATGTAATTTTTTTTTCCTTTAGATTNTAAAAAGCACTGGTGGGAGGGTAGATGCTCTGTACAAAGAAACAATGCAATTCCATAATCAGTTGCAGACCATTGTATTAAACAAAAAAGGTTATATTGATATTTTATTAGTTTTAAATATCATTTCTATTATTTTTTTTTCTTGCATTAGGGGTGCACAACCATATTATGTATGTATATATATATATACATACATAAATAATGGGGGGGGGGGAGATATAAACTCTAACCAAAAAGAAGCTGACAGGATGAAAATTTAAACAATATATGCATTTTATTGAGTAATATAAATTTTAATTAAAGAAAATTTATAATGTTTAAACACAATCAAATTAATGGAAATTTTTGTATTGCATTCAAAAAAGCCCGCTGGCCGCACATAGACAGTGGGTGGGCCACATGTGGCCTGCGAGCCACAGGTTGGGCACTGTTATCTTACATAAAAGCTAAGACAAATTAAATTGTATCTTAGATACTGGTAATAAATTTATATTTATTTTTAAGTTTAATGTTAGGGAGGAGACAAGGAATGAAATTTACTCTCAAAAAAATTTCTGCACTATTGCTTTCTGAAAAGTAATGTAGTTAAAATGGAGTTAATAAATTTATTTATTTTAACACAAGTGAGGGATGTATTAAAATTTTTTTAGAATGTATGTAATTTTTAATAAATTGTTGTTTTATTTATTTTTTATGGAAAAAGCAGTTTTTCATCCTTTTGTAAAATTTTATTTCATTCAAAGATATTTTATTAGTGCTATACATAAAATTTATTTTTCACTGGCATGTGGTTTTTCAGTGCTAATATTAAAGCAGGAAAGGGTTTTAATTTTTCATAAAAAGCTGATACATAGAGGTAAAAACTTGTGTACAAACTTATGAATACTTATAATATGTGCCGACAAATTTGCTTCATCATGCTGTTTCAATTTTTTAATTTGATTGCATAAAAGATTTTTTTAAAAAAAAAATATTGTAGCTAAAATTATTCATAATTTTTTATTTTGTTTCTTATTTGATTCATTTTATATAAGTTAATGTTTTTGGAAAATTAAAATTATTTTAATGTTTTTGTTGTTGTTTATTTTATATAGTTGTTGAGGGTAGGGATCAAGACATTGATGGTGAGGATGACAATGTGGATGATGAGCCCAAGGAAAGGCGGAGAACCACTAAAACCAAACAAGTATTCTCATAAAGTTTTCCTGATATATTTTTTTAGAACATAGAAATAATTATTTATGATATGAATAAAAAAAAAGAATGTGACCCCTGTGGCGGAATTTTTTCCAGCTTTCCGCGATGTGCCTCTCTAATACTAATATTTTCTGCCAGGTACTTTTTAAAATAACAAATATACATGTTACTGATTTAAAGTAACAGAAGAGTCAACTTCAAAAGTAAATAAATTACTTTTTGATTAAAATAAAATGTAGCTTTTTTTATTTGAATATGTAATATTTTTTTAATTCTAATATTGTGGTCAATATTCTCGCATTTTGTACGGGGGAAACACACTAATTATTTCCTTTTTGTAAATCATCATCACATTAAAAAAAATATAAAAAAAATCGTGAAATCCGTAGCAGTAACTAGCAACAAAAAAATGTTTATGACGAAATCATGTGAGTCGGACTCTTCGAAAAGGGGATTCGTGTTTTCGTTTTGAGATTCAGTTCCTGTAATAAACAATATCGTATTAAGAATATAAGTTTTTAAAAACTATATGGAAGTCAAAAGTAATAAGTACATAAAAAATAGAACGAAAATTTCTGCAAAAAAGAAAACCCAAATTTTTTACTTCCCAAAGAAAAAACCTTTTTGCAAGAACTCAGTAACGTTCTGCGACAATGTGACCCTGTCGCCACAATTCTGCGAACAGGACTATGTTAAGATAAAGGTCAATATCATTAAACAATTTGAATTTGCAAAGTCTTTGTCAAAAATAAGGATTGTTATTTTATTTTAAAATCTAAAAAATAAACTCACTGAAGTTAAATTTTCAATAGGTCAGTTGTCAAATGTTTTTAAAACTTTTGTGATATAGTGAATTTACTGTAATATTTAAAGGTAAAACTACTGCAATTTTTATAAATGCTGAATAAGAGAGGATGAATTTCCATCTAACATACAGCTATCATTTTATTGAATTTACTGTAATATTTAAAGATAAAATTATCACAATTTTTATAAATGCTGAATAAGAGTGGATGAATTTTTTATCTTTATATAACTATCATTTTATTGAATCATTTTCTCAAAAAAAAACAGTTGGTTTAAGTTTTCAAAACAATTTATTAGCATTTTTTTTTAAATAAAAACAAATTGGACCATTATATGAATTTTTTTTTTTATAAATATATTTTGAAATTTTTTTATTTATTTCACAAGATTTTTTGTAAACTTATTTAAAACAAATCAATTTATGAATCTATAATAAATTAGTTTAAATATATAATTTGAAATCTGTGAGTTATGTAATCAGGTATCAATTCTGATTTATGAAATCAGTAGTGAGTTATGCAATCAGTTGTGAGTTAATCATTCACATGGATAATTTGGTTTCATATTTTCTGTGTAAATTTTATAGTACCAAATTTCATTATAATTTACGAAATTGTAAAGTTAATCCAGTTTTTTTTTAAATATATTTTTTTAACGAAAAAAAATGGATTATAAGGTAAATAAAGTATGATTCCATTAAATGTGTTGCTATATATGCCGTTTTTATAATCAACAAAAAAAGAAAAAGTTAATTTTTTATATTTTCAATGGAATTGTTTTATATTTACTTTCAATTTGGTTGTCAGGTAACAATAGTGAACTATTAAACAGTTATGCAGGTTAGTGACTAAAGTCCTTTTATGTATTAAACAGTATTACTTCACTAAGGGTGTTTTTCCAAGGGACTAAGGGAATAATTCTTCAATGAAACAGTTCACTAATGGAATAATATTGTTAATGGTTTAATATTGTTTTTCCAGGAAAATGTTTGAAAAGCAATTTAACTATTGCAGATTTAACTTTTATTTTCAACTCATCAAGGTTTTTCTTTAGATTATAATTGTTATATTTTAATTAAATTTTAAATAAACTTTTAACTATAGAGCAGAATATATTTAAAATTTTTGGAANAGGCTTTTTTTTTTAAATAAAAACAAATTGGACCATTATATGAATTTTTTTTTTTATAAATATATTTTGAAATTTTTTTATTTATTTCACAAGATTTTTTGTAAACTTATTTAAAACAAATCAATTTATGAATCTATAATAAATTAGTTTAAATATATAATTTGAAATCTGTGAGTTATGTAATCAGGTATCAATTCTGATTTATGAAATCAGTAGTGAGTTATGCAATCAGTTGTGAGTTAATCATTCACATGGATAATTTGGTTTCATATTTTCTGTGTAAATTTTATGGTACCAAATTTCATTATAATTTACGAAATTGTAAAGTTAATCCAGTTTTTTTTAAAATATATTTTTTTAACAAAAAAAATGGATTATAAGGTAAATAAAGTATGATTCCATTAAATGTGTTGCTATATATGCCGTTTTTATAATCAACAAAAAAAGAAAAAGTTAATTTTTTATATTTTCAATGGAATTGTTTTATATTTACTTTCAATTTGGTTGTCAGGTAACAATAGTGAACTATTAAACAGTTATGCAGGTTAGTGACTAAAGTCCTTTTATGTATTAAACAGTATTACTTCACTAAGGGTGTTTTTCCAAGGGACTAAGGAAATAATTCTTCAATGAAACAGTTCACTAATGGAATAATATTGTTAATGGTTTAATATTGTTTTTCCAGGAAAATGTTTGAAAAGCAATTTAACTATTGCAGATTTAACTTTTATTTTCAACTCATCAAGGTTTTTCTTTAGATTATAATTGTTATATTTTAATTTAATTTGAAATAAACTTTTAACTATAGAGCGAAATATATTTAAAATTTTTGGAATGACAATAAATTATAAATTTTTAGAAGGACACAATGTATTATAAATATATTTTAATTAGAAATTTTTTCTCGTTTTTCAGTCATGCATCTCAAATGAAGATATGTGTCCTTTAAATCTGAAAATACACATATAAAAGTTCTGCAAATTTATAAATTGTATTTATATCTTAGTCTTATATCCTTAGCAAAGATAATGCACCTTTTAAATCTAAAAATATGTGTTGAGATAATGTAAATTTATATGTTGTTTCATTTATATTCCAGTCATATATCACAAATGAAGATAATGTGTCTTTCAAATCTGAAGCTACATATCAAAATACAATGCCTCACGCTAATTACATTGCAATCAAGTCTGCGTTTTGTGCTTCGAGGACAGCTCCAAAACTGTTGGAGAGACTTCCACTGGAAAATGATTCTTGTAAATTAGCATGTGTTACTGCTCTGCCTTGTTTCAATCCTTTGGCTCCTGTACCTGTAGTGGATTTTTCATATCCAGCAAAACGGAAAGGTATGGTTTCTTGACCTTTTTTTATTTATTTTTATTTCCATTGAGCTGCACAAGTGCACACACATGAGCAGACCTAGTGCAGGGATCTCTTTAGAAGAAATTTGGGTCTGTTAATGGACCCTTCACAAAATATCTTTTTATGAAAACGGACCCTTCGCAAAATATTTTAACTTAAAAACGGACCCTTCACAAAATGTCTGGACAGACCCCTGTAGTATGTTCTCCAGAAGTGGTATCCACTCTTTCAGGACTACCAAAATGGGTGAGATACCGTTGGCCATGTTAATTTGGACGTCTAGTTTCTGCTCCACTAGATGGCAGCACTGAGACTCTTTGGTATAGCATTTGTGTAACAGTTAATGCACTTGAATTCTGCAAATCTAAACTTCTGTAATTTGATATAATCATGAGGTTTCCAATAATCATGAGGTTTCTCTGAATATACTTAACCTCTTCAATGATTATCCCGAGTTAACTTGGGTATGTATATATTGCAAATATTTATTATCATGAGTAAACTCGGACATAGCACAATTCGTCAATACGTTTTGTTTTATCACGTTTTTATTCGGGTGGAAGCAAAACTAAAAATAATTATAATCTGCTGTGATTGGAAGTAACTGATTGTTCTGTATTCCGATAGTTCCCATTCCAAAATTAATCTGTTTGTTCTGTATTCAGATAGTTCCCATTCCAAAATTAATCTGTTTGTTCTGTATTCCGATAGTTCCCATTCCAAAATTAATCTGTTTGTTCTGTATTCCGATAGTTCCCATTCCAAAATTAATCTGTTTGTTCTGTATTCCGATAGTTCCCATTCCAAAATTAATCTGTTTGTTCTGTAATCCGATAGTTCCCATTCCAAAATTAATCTGTTTTTCCAGTATTCTAATTCTGAGATAACGACAATGTGATAATAAAATAACTCAATTTTGAAAATAAACTCTTTTTAAAGGTGAAATTCTCTCGCTAGATGAAATCGCTCGCTCGCTCTTTTTGCTAGGGGAAAATCTCTAGTTTATGCTTCAAAATATTAATATCTTTATTACATTAATTGTACTAAAAGAAGCATATATATGATTTATTATTTATATGGTGTAATTTCTTTTTCTAGGTTTAATTCAGAAAATACAAAATGTTAGACTTAATTACGTAGAATCTCAATCGGGGACATTTTGCTCTGATGTAAGTACTATGTTGAATATAAATTCAATTCAGTGCCTATATATATTTAGAACTTCATTATTAATTTATAATATAGTATTAATAATTTATAATATATTATTTCTTGAATCAATTTATTTGAACTTTATTAAATTTCAAAATCGTATATTTCTGAAAGTAAAAATAATAAAGTTGGCTTGCATCTGAAAGTGCAGAATAGATCAGAAATACAGAATAGATCATTTAAGCATTTTGCCAAACTCATTCCTTTTAGAGAATGACTTGCATATTTTTCTTTTACTTTTTCTTTTCTTCACACCTGCAACAGAAGAACGGGAAAATTGTAATTCCTTCAATGTTTGTTAGAGATTATTCGCCATTTTGTTATGGGACAAGAATTTTTCAGCAGAGCGTCTGTTGAGCTATTGTTACATTCCTGCAAACTGTTTTTCATCAGCATTGTTAATTTTTTAAATTATTATTGATCATAAATTATAAAAAATACATCACTGCAAGAGAGAAAAAAGGGGAGAGTGATTAGAGAATCAATTCAACAAAATAAAGTTTTCATGCTCAAGTAGTATTAAAAAAAATGCGAGATATGCTGTCACCTGCTAAAGTTTAATGTTTTAAAAACCAGAAAACGTTGTAGTTTATCTCCGCAAAATTGCAGTAGTTATAATTTTCCTTCCCCATTTTTAAATGATTCGATTTGTGCAGTGTGTTTAGTTTTCCTGATACTCCTGGTTTTCCCGATAAAAAATGTTTTGTCCTTATTTGTAACTTTTTGTTCTGATATTCATGATTTATATCGTATAAAAATTAAAAGAGGGAGAATTTTGAAAAAACTCTTGTTAAGTTTATAATTCAAAATGTTCCTATGATCATACCAAATTTCATTTCTGTAGTTGCATTTTAGCGTACAGTAAGCCGATCAAAAGGTTTTATTTTTTCATCATAAGATTAACAATTAATAATTCTTGTAATAATAATGGGATCTTATTATTTTTTTATTCCCCCAAACACTTTGTACCTTTTTCTACACAAACACACCTTCATAATTTCAAGTTTCTAAATATTACAGATTTTGAGCAACAAAGCAAAAAGAAATTAAAACAGTTCACTTAAATTGCAATAACTTTAACAAATTGGAATTTTGAGAAAACTCTGTCTTAATTTCATAAGCAAATAAGGCCCTTTCACTATGTCAAATTTCAACTCAACTTCCTGCAGTATCAGTAACCCTGATGGCATTTTTTAAAAACAAGTTCAACAGTTAAATATTCAAATTATCGAATGTAAATAATTTCATTCCATTGTAATTGCTGTACTATTTTCTACATACCTTAGTAAGTTTCTAAGTCTCATAGTTTCTCTGCATTTAAAACTAAACGTTAAATTGAACACCCAAACAAAACAGCAACAGTCTTAATGTGGAGAGAAGTTTTTATGGGTATGAACTCAGGGGTCATACCATTTTTTAAAATTATTTTAAAGTGAATCTAGTAACAGGTTAAGTAGCGACACCTTTTAGTTTCACAATTACTGATTCATCTCTTTAGTATGTATTTAAAATTGGTCGATTCCAATCAACTATTAAATTTATTTTATAAAAGAAATCTTAACTCAATTATTAATTATACAGGTATAGGGGAATATATTTATTAATCGATATTGCTGGTTATTTTTTTAATGCGTCTGTAGAGTAAAAATGTTCCATGCATTTATTTGAAGTTATTAGGAGTTGGTCGCGATTGATAAAATTAGACTGCAAACTGTTAAAACTTAATTAAAAATATTTTATTTTTTTTATTCTATTTTAGTAAAGTAGAGCTTATTGTATAGTTAAGATTTTATATAATGTAATATTATATACAATTATATAATATACATATAATATATAATTGCTAAATATACAATTATATAATATCTAATATATATAATTCTCTTACGTGGCTCCCAAATTTTGGCTGTATTTCTTTTCCGCCGGTGGCAACAGTTTTCATTTTTAAAGAAGTATTTTGCACAACTAAATAAGATTCTTTTTACAACACTTAAATATTTACTTTATTTTCTTCATATATACAGAGAACAGTCGGCGAAGAATTCTGTTAGGCTAAAAAACATTTCGCTGAAAAAATAACGAATTCTAAAAGAAATAAAAACAAACAACTTAAAAAATAAAAATGCTGTTGCCAGCCATAGAATTTTTTGAAAGCTAACTTAGCTACATAAATCAAAATGACATAGAAGCGCAACTAGATCAAAATTATGATACCTGAGTGCTTGACGCAACAAATCCTTCAATTCTATAAGTGTTGTATCACCAAATACCCAGATAATATTGAAATGAAGAGGTTTAGAATTTTCTACAGGGAAAAGTTTTCGGAGCTTCAGTATTCATAGAAGTATACAAAAGCTAGACGTTAAGAATGTATCCAATGCGGGAGCAAAGCGAGCATTGGATTGCGAAGCAATCCGAAATGAACTGCGAAAGCAGTTCTGGGGGTTGGCGAGCGCCAGCGAGCAGGGGGCGAAGCCTCCTAGTATATATATAATTGTATATTTAGTATTTTAAGTATTAGTTTACTGTTTACCTTTTTTAAAAGTGGTTTTTTATATTTTACCAAAAAGTGATCTGATTCTTTTTTTTTTGTTTTGTTTAATGTTCTCTTGATTTTTTCTTTACTCCACTGTAAAACCTAATTTATGTATAAGCTTAATACATAAGCGAATTTAAAAGTCAGCTAATATGAATCCTCTTCATCAATCTTCGCTAGTATCAATCTTCATTTCATTGAAGCAAAATTGACTTAATTTATTATATGCTTATTGTGTTTTAAATCTTTATTTTTTTTCTCAAACTGTTCTATTTTTTATTTATTAATATGTAATTAAACATCCTATTGCTTTTTTTTTTAAACAGTTTTTGTCTAAACCTTAAAATAATCATGCGGTTCATTAAATTTTCTAGATTAAATTTATTACTGACATGCTCATAATAGCTAATTCATTAGCTGTGTAATGGCAGATACCCTACAACTGATTCTAAATTTTTTATTTGTTTTTATAATGATGTATTTTAATTATTACCTTGTTGCTAATCAATAAATATTGCCTTATCGCTTTAATGAAAATGGTTATTTGTATCAAAAATTGTGAATATTCATTTATAAATTTCAGAGTTTATACAACAAGTTTTATACAGAGTTTATACATACAAGTTTTATAAGCTACATTTAATGACACTCTGAATATTGTTTTTTAAATTACAAATTAGAATAATAGCTGGAATGTATAAAAAAACTAATGTATGCTTAATGACATCAGAAATATTATTTTATGACTAATTTACTAATCCACAAGTTGATTTTGAATTTCAGTTTTTAGAATATTGCTTATTATAGTGTGCTTTAATTGTAAATGTCTTCCTCACCTTAAAATAATATGAGATAAGATTCAAGAATCGCCAGATAATCAAAAGCTTGTATTTTTAGTTTATACCTTTACTTATTGTTTAATATTATTAATTTTATGTTTTGTTAAAAATTATAGTTTCATCCATATTTTATTCTATGAATGATTTTTATTGTGTTTTCTTTTTTTAAAATCTAGGTATTTCCTCCCCCTTCATTCAGAAGTCCTGTTGGGGCTCCTGATATGGATGTAAGTTTGTCCCTTATTTTGATAGCATTTTTAAAACTGTACTAATTATACAGCAGAGTAGAAGGACTAAAAATGTTGAAGTATATGTCTGAAGTGTTGATATATATGTTAGCATTAGTGTGGAAAAATCTGCCAATAATTTTAGATATATATAATATTTTTAGGTATACATAAGTGGACCTCAGGCTTTAAGTAAGTTAAAGAATATAAATATTTCAAATGTTAAATTACACCTAAAATAGGAACAAACATGCATATTGCTATATTATGGCCTATTTAAATACAATAATGAATAGATTTAATAATTATTTAGAAAAAGAAATTTAAAGACAAATATTAAATTTTTTCTAAGCACAATGCAATACTGCATCTCAGTTTCAAAACTATTTTAGCTATGCAAACCACACAAAAATAAATTATTAGTGAAAAGAATCTGATATTAATTATAAAAAATATTTCATTCTTGGGGGTAAAATCTCGAAATTATGAAGAAAAATAAAATTCAAAAGTTAGTTCTTAAATGTATGTATGTACCTTAACATGATACAATTGATTAAAATACACATAAAAATACTAAATCGATATAATCTCTCATAAACTCTAAATAGATATTTCTTATATAGATCTCATAATATATGAGATTTCTCTTGAATACTACGGTGTCATAAATTTTGCCATGCGATATTAAGGTACACATACGTGATCCAGCATGTTCTTGACTGTATTTTTAAACATTAATTCATTATAAATTTAAAAGCTTTATACAAATCATAGAATTGCTAAGTCAAAAGAGAAAAATTACTTTCAGAATAACTAAATATTTGAAATTACTAGTGTTTTTGAGCCCGTGAATTTAACGTCATTTTTCGAAAATCACTTCTGTTTATGTGGAATTCTACCCAAATAACTTACATGTTCTGCATCTCTTAGAATCCCCAAAAAGCTTTAACATCCACAAATGATTCAGTGAGGGTAAAACTGTAAGTTTTTTTTTATAACTTGTTTTTAGAAGCTAAGAATCGAAGATCCACATGTGTGGACTGAGAATGACGAGGTTAAAAAGAAGACAAAATCTTATAACTCTTTCATATTTTCTGTTGCCTCAATGGCCCGAGAGCCGCTTAAAATTCAGAGCATTAGATAAAAAATACAGATTTTATTTATTTGCTTGTTATTGTATTTAAATGTTGCCATTACTTATCTTTAGAATGTTTGTATAAAATTTCAGAATGAGTTAATTTCTTGTCGGGCTTCAGCCATGTCAAATTTTTAATATTAAATTATTGTATTTGGATTGAGTTAAGTGAAGTAAGTGATTTTCTATATATTTATTTAAAAATATGGGCAAATGATAACTAAAATGCAGTGCCATTAAGGTAATTCAGAATTCATGAGGTGACTCAGAAGATATTAAATGGTTCTAAAGTTTTGTACTTGCATTATTGTTAAGAGGTGGTAAATGTTAAGCACGATTGCAAGCTAATTAACAAATCCTGTAATTTTTTTAGTTTTATCTTAACTACTTTTCGACCATTGAGGAGGCATTAAATGCAAATTTAGTGTTATAAGATTTTGCAAAGTCTTCATCATGGTAATTACAACTTTTTTTCACTACTGCTGAAAGATTTAATGTATTTTATCGTCGTCAGCCCACCTTTGTAGTACATATGAATAAAGTTAGGTGAGAAGAAAAAGAACGTGTATAAAACACAAATTTTTTCATTTTGTGCTTTTATTGTATATTTTGTTTTATTGAAGGTTATTTCCCCTTACAGCCTTCTTATAATAAATTCAATATTTAAACATTAATTTCGATTCAAAATTACGATAATTCTTATATTTGATTAAATTTTTTGGGATATATGTCAATATTGCTGTTTGTTTTTTCCGCTATTCGATCGCAGAAATAATGTATTGTTTAGTCAGTAAATTTTGAAATAAAGATTGAGTTAATAGACAATGTTATAAAATCTCTAAACTTTGTTTATTTAGTAAAATTTCTTTATTTTTAAGCCTTTTTCTTTATTTTAGACATTACTTAAAAATAAACTATTACATACAAATCATTTTAGCCACCTTCTGACGATTCATTTGTAATTGGCTCTTCCCCTGTACGAGAGCCACAAGATGCTGATGTTGAAGAAATAATTGACAAATTTTCCGTTTTGGATATAACTGCGTAAGTAAGATTTAACTTCAATTTTTTATTTTTCTTAATGGTTTTAATTTTTTTTTCCAATGCCCACCTGGAGAATGACCTTTCATCATACAGGCGTCTGAAGGACAGATTTGTTGGCCACTCTTTCAGGGGCAAAATATTAGGTGGGCCAACGTTGCTCCCATAGTAAGGACAGATAATACAGATAATGAAAGAACATCCATGCCTACCAGTGCATACCAATTCAAGCATGCCACGAAATAAATTGTTAACGAATTGTTGTTTCACGAATCCAAAATTTTCATCGTAATAATGTATCAATTACAAAAAATCGGAATTTAAAATACCATCCAAAAACAATGAAGATTAACAAGAATATTGCCTAGAATTGAATTATTTTTCTTTTTTAAATAAATTGGGGAGCGTAATCATTTTTTAAAGACATGTAGGGCGAAAATGTTTCATCCAAAAGTCAAATTTGCGTAAATTACTCCACCTAAAATAACCCTGTATTGATGATATAACATATTATTGATGATTGTTTGGTGCTCTTTGATGGTAAATAAAGTGTTATTTGAATTAGGAATTCTATTTAGTTTTTTCAAGTATTGTTGCCATATAAATTTATCGAATTATTTATATATCAAATAGTATATTGTATATATCGAATTATTTAAAATACATATTTAAATATGATTGAACATTTTTAGACTTTATTCCTGATGAAAACTATGGTGTAAATATTTTCAATTATTTATTTATGTACTTCCCTAGCATTTCTATAATGTTATTTCTATTTGACACTTTCTTTCTTTATTTTCTTTAGAGCTTGGTTAAATATTATAACATTAAATGTAAATTTAAATTTTCATATATGTTTTTCTATAAGCTCTATGCTGCTATGAACATAAAAATTATTAGCGCCAATTAATTTAAAAAACCAAACCTACTTGCTCCAAGACGCATTTTTTATGTTCCAAAATGATTATACAGCCCTTTCATCCCTGCATATATTAAAATAAACTTTAAATAATTTAATAATAATATAAATAAATTAGTAATGTAATGAAATGCAAAAAATTATTTATCTTTTTTTTATTATTTTTTTTTATTTGAGTTGATTGGTATTTTCAGAGTTTTTGTTGTTTTCCCATTCTATCACTATTCATGTGACACTATTATCTCATGCTTTTAAGATTAATAAAATATGTGAAAGTTGCAATTTTTGTCTTTGCTTATTTCTTCTTCTTTACAGTGACATACTGGTTAAGGATTTGTCGCATGCAGTTGTTGATGCAAACACTGTAGATAGAAACCGTTTTCCACCTAATTCTGCTCTCAAAAGAGTTTTAAATAGTAAGTGTTTTCAATAGTAATCTTCTATAGTTAATGTTGCCTTTTTTTTTTAGATTCATGGTAGCTTAATCTTTATTATGATACTTGTTATTTGTAACCATTCCTCTATGTTATTCGACTCAAGCAGTTACTGGTACTAAACCAATACACTGTAACTCAACCTATTTCAGAGATAAATACATAATGTTGGTTCATCATTCTAGGTATTCATTTTCAACAATGAACTGATAACTAAGCGAACTTGTTTTTTACTATGATTTTTTAAATTTCTTTAAGGCATGATATCTTGCAATCAAAATTCAGACTGTTTTCTGATTTGCTTAAATGCTCAAAAAAGCTTTACTCCGGAGATAATATCTTTTCCAGATAGACGCAAGCAGAATTTACTGTTATTTTATTACCAAATTAAATTTATTGTAAAAGAAATTTTCAACAACATTCAGACTAGCTTAATCAATCAAATTTTATCAGCTCTGTGCTGGATTATAATACAAGTTCCCAATGTTTATTGACTAATGCGAGAAAGATTTGTTTTAACAACAGTTAGAGATTACCATTGATCAAAGTTTCCACCAGATGAAGTGTTTAATTTTTTATCTGGAATTCTGTGCTTGTTGGCAATACAAATTATTATGGTTTCCTGACTGTTACATTTACATTTTATTGCTTGCTCATTAAATCAGAGTGTACTACAAAAGATTTAAAAGTGCTATTTTTCTCACATTTCTCTTTATTGTTTGTTTAAATGCAGTTTTTAAACAAATTGAACTAAGGTGGCGTTTTTAAACTCTTTACAACATAATGAAATTTCTATAAAAGTCAAAAAATTTTTTTTCTAGCAGCTTTACACTAAAGAATATTATAGAAATTTGAAAAAAAGAATTACTCATCGAGTTTGAGTTATCTTTATAATCCTATTATATTCTTAAATAAATATCTNACAGTATTTAATCTTGATGTATTATGGTAAAGCTTTCTTAGATAGTTTGCATATGTCGAGGGGGTATTGTGTATGTTAGGTATTTCAGTCAAAAAATTTTCAGTCTTGGTCTTTTTTCCAACTTGCACCCATGTGGGAGACTTTTCTGTGCTCCCTTTGTTGCCGTAGCGTTTTTTTATTTTATTTTTCTTTTCTTTTTTAGCATGACTTGGGTTGAAAATCTGCAGCCCGCAATAGTTTCTGAACACACTGAGCTTTTTTTTTTCTTTAAAAAATTTTTTTGAAAATTTTGAATTGCAAATTTGAGTCTTCCCTTTTTAATTCGTTCAATCTGCACAGATCGCTTTTTCGATCGTTCTATTTCAGTGGCTACAAAATTCCGCATGATTTAAAAAAAAAATATATATTTAAAACAATATTATGATGCATGAATTTCGAATTGACTAATTGCTTTTCACTATACAGTGTTTTCATCATAGAAAAAAAAATGGGTGAGAATTTCTCACCCTTTCTCAAACATAGGGTGAGATTTAAAAAAGTTAAGTCAGATTTCTAAAAAAACACAAAAACTCTTGAAAAAAAAATCATTTCTTTAATTATAATACATTTTTAACGTCTTCTACTTTTTAAAGCATTGAATATTTTTGATGCATCATCATAGAAGATTTTGCCTTTACAAGGTACATTTGTCCATCTTGCATAAGTGCATAAAAAATTTGAACGTCTTACATGAAGAAACCTTACCTGCGGTAAACGCGTGGTTGCAGACAAATGTGTTCTGAAAGGGGTTCCGTGGTTGTGTTCTGTTGTTCGAAAAGGTTCTGAACAATACTGGTAAATAGGGAAGCTAGATAATGGGGCAGATGTTGAAAATAGTGAAAGATCCAGTAAGAAAAGTGAAACGGATTTTATTCTAAGTGGCGTAATTCGAAGCTTTTTCCAAAATGCGAGAAATTCGCGAATTTTGAAATTGATTTATAGAATGCGCGAATTTCTCGCGGTAAACATTTTTTAATGCGAGAAAAGAAAAAAATATGCGAGATTCTCGCGTTCTCGCGCTGTAGTGAAAACACTGCTATATATATTTCCTATATCAATTATTGATAAAAAGAAAAATAGTGCTAGAACAACGTTTATATAAAAATGAAAATTATCATATTTGCCACCAACTTGACTAAATGTATCATGGTATATGAAAGTCAAGTCGTTAACAAAATTTTAGTCATATTTTTGATGAATTTTTGTTCTTATTTAGGCAACTATTTTCATAGTTTTCTTCCGCTACTATTTTCATGCTTTAGGCTACTAAAAGCAACTATTTTGTTCATTTTTTTCTGTGGCTACCCTGTCTCTAGGCTTTGTTTATTTAGTAAAATTTCTTTATTTTTAAGCCTTTTTCTTTATTTTAGACCTTAATTAAAAATAAATTATTGCATACAAATCATTTTAGCCACCTTCAGACGATTCATTTGTAATTGGATCTTCCCCTGTACGAGAGCCACAAGATGCTGACGTTGAAGAAATAATTGACAAATTTTCCGTTTTGGATATAACTGCGTAAGTAAGATTTAACTTCAATTTTTTATTTTTCTTAAGGGTCTTAATTTTTTCTTCCAATGTCCACCTGGAGAATGACCTTTCGTCATACAGGCATCTGAAAGGCAGATTTGTTAGCCACTCTTTCAGGATCTGCATATTAGGTAGGCCAACGTTGCTCCCAGAGTAAGGACATATAGTACAGAGAATGAAAGAATAGCCATGCCTTGCCTGGGATTCGAACCCGGAACCTTTCTGATGCAAGGCCAGTTCCTTGACCCATAATGGTTTTATTTACATCGTCATGTTTTTCATAATTAAATATGATATTTGTACTCTTCAGCCTATATATCTGAGGGGATTTTATTATACAAATGAATGCAACAGTAAACATTATTAAAACAAGTAAATTTTTATTTGAAATAACAGGATTAGTTGGAATAATTATGCAATGTGTAGATCTAATATTCTTCACATTGATGTTTTTTTTATTTCAAAAAAGGTTAAAATGCCATTTCCAGGTAATATCTTGTCTAGTATTCACTGCACTAAAGTAATTATTTTTTTAATTTTTTTTTTGTTGTTAGAGTTGTGCTAAGACAAAGTCAAGCCCGGTCACTAAATGCTATATCTTACCTGGTACATCACCTGGTATTTCCTACCTTGATGTTTTCTTAATTAGATAGTAATAAAATCCAAATAAACCAGGGTTGAAGTAAAATTTGTGTTTCACAAAAAAATTTGATTTGTTAAATAAAGAAAATCAGGCATAAGATTCTGCGAACTTTCTAAACTTTATTATAATATTCTTTACTTTAATTATGATTTAAATATAAAGCTGAACAGTTTGTCGGCCTGTCAATGTACACAAAGGCAAAGTTGGAACAATTATGTAAATTGCGTCAACCTGCTCCAAATTGAAATTCTTGTTTTTTTTTTCCTCCCAAAATTACTCCGAAACTCTAATAATACTCGTTGAGTGAAAAGTGCAACTTGGTAACTAATTTGTGCTCAATAACCAGTTATCACACCTCATTAAAAAATCGGAATCAGAAAAACTATGTGGATAAAGTAGAAAAAGTGATCAGTGAACAATGTGGATTTATGATCAAATCGTTCCATATAGAGTTCGTCAAAAAGTAATGCTTAAAATTCTCAACGTAATTCTTTGATCATAAAATATTATTGTGGAATTACGATTGCATACCAATTCAAGCATGCCATGAAATAAATTGTTAACGAATAGTCGTTTCACTAAACCAAAATTTCCGTCGTAAAGTATTACAAATATTGCGATTTGAAAAACCTTCCAAAAATAATGAAGATTTACAATAATATTGCCTAGAATTGAATTATTTTTCTTTTTTAAATAAATTTAGGAGCTTAATCATTTTTAAAAAACATGTTTGGCGAAAATGTTTCATTCAAAGGTCAAATTTGCATAAATTACCCTACCTAAAATTAGCCTTGCATTGATATAACATTGATGATTGTTTAGATTGGTGCTCATTGATGGTAGATAAAGTTTTATTTGAATTAGGAATTCTATTTAGTTTTTTTCAATTATTGTTAGCGTGCAAATTTATCGAATTATTTAAAATGCATATTTGAATATGATTGAACATTTTTAGACTTTAGTCCTGCTGAAAACCTATGGAGTAAATATTTTACATTATTTATTTATTTAAGTAGTACCTTAGCATTTCTATAGTATTATTTCTATTTGACACTGCATTTTCTTCAGAGCTTGGTTAAATATTATGTTAAATGTAAATTTAAATGTTCATATATGTTTTTTTACAAGCTCTATGCTGCTATGAACATAAAAATTATTAGCAACATTTAATTTCAAAAACCAAACTTACTTGCTCCGAGACCCATTTTTTCTGTTCCAAAATGATTATACTGCTCTTTCAGCCCTGCATATATTAAAATAAACTTTAAGTAATTTAATAATAATATAAATAATGTAGTAATATAATGAAATGTAAAAAATTATTTATCTTTTTTTTTTAAATTTTAGTTGATAGGTATTTTCTGACTTTTTGTTGTTTTCCCACTCTATCACTATTCATGAGACACTATTATCTCATACTTTTAAAGTTAATAAAACATGTGAAAGTTGCAATTTTTGTCTTTACTTATTTCTTCTTCTTTTACAGTGACATACTGGTTAAGGATTTGTCACATGCAGTTGTTGATGCAAACACTGTAGATAGAAACCGTTTTCCACCCAATTCTGCGCTCAAAAGAGTTTTAAATAGTAAGTGTTTTCAATAGTAATCTTCTATAGTTAATGTTGCCTTTTTTTTTTAGATTCATGGTAGCTTAATCTTTATTATGATACTTGTTATTTGTAACCATTCCTCTATGTTATTCGACTCAAGCAGTTACTGGTACTAAACCAATACACTGTAACTCAACCTATTTCAGAGATAAATACATAATGTTGGTTCATCATTCTAGGTATTCATTTTCAACAATGAACTGATAACTAAGCGAACTTGTTTTTTACTATGATTTTTTAAATTTCTTTAAGGCATGATATCTTGCAATCAAAATTCAGACTGTTTTCTGATTTGCTTAAATGCTCAAAAAAGCTTTACTCCGGAGATAATATCTTTTCCAGATAGACGCAAGCAGAATTTACTGTTATTTTATTACCAAATTAAATTTATTGTAAAAGAAATTTTCAACAACATTCAGACTAGCTTAATCAATCAAATTTTATCAGCTCTGTGCTGGATTATAATACAAGTTCCCAATGTTTATCGACTAATGCGAGAAAGATTTGTTTTAACAACAGTTAGAGATTACCATTGATCAAAGTTCCCACCAGATTAAGTGTTTAAATTTTTTAACTGGAATTCTGTGCTTGTTGGTAATACAAATTTTTATGGTTTCCTGACTGTTACAATTACATTTTATTGCTTGCTCATTAAATCAGAGTGTACTACAAAAGATTTAAAAGTGCCTTTTTTCTCACATTTCTCTTTATTGTTTGTTTAAATGCAGTTTTTAAACAAATTGAACTAAGGTGGCGTTTTTAAACTCTTTACAACATAATGAAATTTCTATAAAAGTCAAAAAATTTTTTTTCTAGCAGCTTTACACTAAAGAATATTATAGAAATTTGAAAAAAAGAATTACTCATCGAGTTTGAGTTATCTTTATAATCCTATTATATTCTTAAATAAATATCTATTAAAAATTTGTGAATGAGCAGAATAAAAATAATATAACAAGTGCTAAAGCCGCATAGCCCAAAATTTGTCTTAATGCATGTAATAACAGAATTTTGTACAAGCTTTTTAATATTAAAACAGCTTGATATTTTTTCTTCATGTAATGCAAATGTGCATTAATTCCATCAAAAAGTTTTTCCACTAGGCTAGTATATCCCAAAGCTTAATCCAGGAGTTCCTTTGCCTTCTGGGTTGGGCTCAAACTAACAATCAGGGGTATCTGCAACAGTTTAGATTTTCAAATTCATGACTTTCCATGAATAATCCTAAGATTTTATCTGACAAAAACACATCAAAAATTTAAAAAAGCATTATAACAACATTAATTGAAATGATAAATATAGCCAAAACTGTTATACTCTGCATCTTCATATTTATTGATTTTGAACTTAAAAAACAGAGAAAAGGAAGAGTTGCAGCAATAAACTAGCTGAAAAAATACGAAAGCAAGTAACTAAATACAGTCAGATATATGTAGTTATTTAAAGTTGATTTATTTCTTCTTAAAAGTAAGTGTAATATAAGAAGCCTAAACTAGAATTTTAAATAAACAAAATAAATAATAAATAAAATAATTCTGAAATCACGTAAGATTAAAACATAAATTCGCTCTAGAATTGTTATTTCTTTTTTTGAAAAAGCACCATGATTTGTAAAGAATAGGATAAAAGCATTTAATATTTTAATTGAATATGACTGTAAGTGGGGATTTTGTTACAAATTCAGATATTTGGAACACTGTGAAATTGGGAGGGAAAATGTAAAATTCCATTTTAAAAATTAGATTTTTCGTGGTAAATTTTGTTCAACACCGAAGTCCATGATTTTTCATGACTTTCCAGGTGTGCAGATACCCTGTGCAAGGCTACGCAGTTGAACATTGAAAGCTCTAAACTCAGAGCTGTCTCGGTTGTATGAGGCTGCTTATTAAAAAAAAATATATATATCAAAGCTCTTAATGAATAAGTTATACTGTACTTTACATTTATATGTTTTGCTTAATTGTTCAACTTACAGTAAATTTTAATAACGTATTCTGATATCTATCTATTTTAAGCTGCTGAAAAATCTAAGGTAGGAAAAACACCTGTGAAAATTAGAAAAGAAAAAGCACCCAGAGAGCCATTTTTTAACCAACAGCGTGTGGTGGATAAATCCATTCTGAAGAAAACACGTAGAAATGAATTAACCGACAAAGACATCGATCAGTGGACAATGAATGACATAACTGCAGGATCTAATGGGATTGAGCTGTTTTCAACCCTCTTTTCTGATAATATCAACATTGACAATAAGAGAACAATTTTGTGCACTTTGCAAAATTTAATGCTGGAAAATACGCCACAGTATTTTGATGGATGTTTTTGTAAAGAATTACAAGTAAGTTGTTCACTTTTTTATCTATAAAATAAATAGTAAGATCCCTTTATCAGAGCCGTGGTGGCAAAGGGAAGAGAGCGATGGCTGTTCAATAGGAATTCTGCATTTGGCTCGGACCGACCACAATGCTGATAAGAAATATCCTCATTGGTTGACTGATCATGGATTAGAATCCCCTTGCTATCAGGCTAACCGTAGGAGGTTTTCGTGGTTTACCTCTCCATGTAAGGTAAATGTGGGTTTGTTCCATCGAAACGTGCTCTACAAAGGCATATTTCTCCTAATACATGATCCAGGAGTTCCCTTGTTTTCTGGATCGGGTTAAAAATTACAAGGATACGGAGTTGAACATTGGTCGTCGTAAACTGACAATTGGATCAGCTATTCATCCCGGTTATAAAATAAAATATTTGTTGGTGCATGAAGAAAAAAAGTATGGTTAAAACTAACAGAATATGGTAAAATTTACCGTGCTTCTAACTCTATGGGAACATCAAAACTCTCGGTAATATTTACCAAAATGCTTTGGTAATGATTTTGATAAAATTAATGCTAAAACAATAGTTTTATAATATGTTACAAAATTTGATACTTTTATCATTGCATAAAAACTATTTATTTGATTAAATTTACTGTTTTGTTATGTTTACTAAGTGTGTGATAATAGGAATTATAATTTTAAAAGACAGAATTTCCGGTAAACCGATACCATATGAACGGAAAAGTTATAAAATGAATGGTTTAAATGCCATATATTGTGGTTTAATCAACCAGAATTGTGTTTGTTTTTTTACCAGAAATGTTATAACAGAATATTTTTGCCCGGAAAAATATTCTGGATTGTGCTCTGGAAAAATCCGTATTTTTCTCTAACCGCAATCAGAAAGTTTCCGGAAATCCAAAGTCCGGATGTTTCAAGAAATCATCGATCACATTTATATATAAAAATTCTTGTATATTTTAGTTAAAAATATTAGAACTGGAATTTATACTTGGCATCTCTTTCATTTGTAAATATTTTTTTCTGGTAGATTATTAATGTGATTAGAGATAAAAGTAAACTTACACATAATTATTCATTTAAATTATGCTGCATATAATTCATTTAGAATATCATGTTTTGAAAATTTCAATGATTTAAATTTATAAAGATATTAATTTTTGTGAATGATTTTACTCAAGAAATTTTCAGGATTATTGAGTTGGACTCGCAATCACCCCTGAAATTACAAGGTTTCAGGGTTGAACATTAGTAGTTGTAAACCCGAACTTTGGTCGGTTGTTCAACGCCAATTATAAATAAAATTCGAAAGAAAACGGTTAACTAGCAATAGAAATTAGCAGACTTTCGGTTAATTTTGCCAACATTTTAAAAGCAGGGATGCCAACTGCTCCACTTTCTTATGTAATTGCGTTTTTTTAAAAAAATGGTAGTTTTAGTTTTTTTGCTAAGTTTATCTAAATTACTTGCAAATTAGATGGTACAACTTAGAGAATAAATATTCCTCTCCATGTAACGCAAATGCAGGTTTGTTCCATCAAAAAGACAATTTCTCCGGATAATTGATCCAGGAGTTCCTTTGTCTTCTGGATTGGGTTCAAAATTACTAGGCTATGGAGTTAAACATTAGTAGCTGTAAACCCTAAATTGGGTCTGCTGTTCAATGACAGTTACAAAATAAAATAGAATCCTTTTATCAATACCTTGCATTGCTTATGCTCTTAATTTCTTTGTGGCTTTTAAGGCATTCAGCCTACCACTTCTATCTCTACCTCCATGCTTCATATCCTTTAATCCAATCAGCAGGGTCTTCTTAACTCTTTCAGGAAAGAAGTGCTTACTCTGGCTTGCCCACTTTGGAAGTATAAGTTCTAAAAAGTATGCATACATACTAATACCAATACCAAAGTACTGAATTGAGATTTTAGTCTTGGTATTCTCGCATTTTTTTTGGGAGGGGAGGCACTAATTATTTTCTTTGTCGCATTTTGGAAATAATCATCACAATAAAAAAATTAATTAAAATTGTGAAATCCATTACCGAAGAAAAGATTGACGAACTCACACGAATTGAACTCCTCAAATGTGTGTTTCGTTTCGAGATTAGGTTGTAATAAATAGTATCGTATATAAAATTTCGGATTTAAAATCTATAGCAATCACTGCAAAAAGTTTGATAGTAGTCAATCAATAGCAAAAAAATCTGCCTTAAAAAGTAAATACTCAAATGCACGATTCGAATATTTCATATTGTTTGAAATATATCGGGATATTTAAAAACCATGTGAAAATGAATATCAATAACTGCTGTAATTTCAATCGAAACATTACATCGATTTATGATACTATCTGTGTAAATTGAGCGCATCAAAAGGTGATTTATATCCACCTTCCCACCCAAAAAATTGTCTTAAAAATAAAATTAATTGTAGCTAATAAGCTAAATGAATTTTTCTTTATCAACCAATCTTTATCCCAAAAATATTTTAACTGGAAAAAACTATCCTTATACAGGGTTAGCTCAATTAAATAGCTCCTAACTAAGCTATTAGGACTGTTTCGACTGTTTCTTCATTTTTACGAATAAGAACTCTGTATTTCGAAGGTAAAAAATCAGAATAGGTAGAAATACTGTATGTTTAATATTCTTATTTAAATTGTTTAATTGTTTCTGCCTAGTAAGCATATCTTTAATGTATCCTTTAAATAATGAAAATTACAGTTCTGTGCTTGAAAATGTGATTAATTATTTAAAAATTAAAAGTTTAAAATATGTCTGTTTTTTCACACTCTGAAGCTAAATTTTAACTAAAAAGACAATTTATCCATGCTCCACTTTTTTGTATGTGAACATTATATTTGTTTTTAGCTTTTAATTAAAAAATTTTTTCTGTTTTATCAAAAAGCTTTGGAATAAATATGGAAAGCAAAGAAATGCTCAGCTTATACGTCCATCATCGTTTGGCGTATGTATGAATGTAAGTATTGTTTCCTATTATAAATTTTTTTTTATAAACAAAATATTTGTTTTCATGTAATTTTACTAAGAATATAGTTTTTAAAAGGCGTAATGTTTTGCTATTATAATATTTTTTATATTTATTCTGCACCTATTGCACAAAGCGTAGTTTGGGCTGAAATTTGTGTGCTTAATTGTAATGTATTGCTTTTTAGCAATGTTACTCAATAAAGTTGGAGCGGTTAACTTTTGTTATCAACAAATAGTTTTAGGTGACTTCAAGCACTAATAATTTAAGAACTGTAAAACATGCTGTTAGTGCCGATCATTAGTTAAAAGAAAGCAGGAATGGCATTTTGTCTTTAAAGAACCTTTTTTTCCAAGGAGAGTGGAAGAAGTTGAAAAATATTTGAAGAAATTTTACAAAATAAAAAGAGCACAACAAAATGGTAACCAAGATAACCAATGCTATTTTGTAGCAATGAGTATTTTCAGACATGCTTAAATTGAAAGAAATTATTTTTACTTTTGTATCAGAAATAAATATACTTAGGTTATTTGTTTTAGTTTTAGGTAAAATTTTCAAATGTATTTATCATTACATAGTTCTCCCTAGAAATAAAAAAGGGCAGGTTGTTTACTCACAGAAAAGGTCACTTTGAGTTTTGAAAGGTTTACACTTAACAAATTTATCAAAATATGTAATTTGTAATAATTGAATTTGATCCTCAATTTTTAAAGTACCCTTTTATAATATTTTATGCATATATTTCACGAAGTAATTCTCTCTCATTATTAAAATAACAGAGAAAGTTAAAGCTTTTGAAAACTAATTGAAGGAAAGCTAAAAAAACAATATCTGTATAAATTTTCTTTAAAAATACAGAAAAAAAATTATTTGATGAACAACTTTGAAGCTACTTTTTTTTTTACATTTAATCTTAAAATTTGAGAAAATAAAAATTTAAAAGTACATTTTTATATAAAAAAGATATTTGTTAAAATTAAGTAAATGGTAAAACTTAAAGCACTAAAAAATACATAATTATACCTTCCCACCCAAATAAAAGAATATCTCTGAGGCCAAATCTAATGCTAATTTTCTCTATGTAACTAGACACAACATAAAAAAAAATGATATTAAAATGAAGGAATGAAATTAAAAATTAAAGTTAAATAATTATCAATAACAAAATAAATCAGAAATGGATTTTTCATTAAAATAGGTGGTTAAAAAAGCAATCTTTTCCTGAAAAAAAAAAAGGTAACACAAAGTGCTTTTAAGAGATGGTGACTTACTTATACAAAAAAGGTCAAGAAGGTGCATTTATAGGGATCAAATTTATAGGGCCACCCTTCTAAAAACGCTTAAGGAGAAACACTGTCATTATTTAAGAGTCAGTTTGAATGCAAACATTTTACAGGATAAAAAAATTATGCTATTTGTAACAGTGAATTCAATATGTAGTTTATGTGTTTAGTATTTTATTTCTAAATTAATTATGAATTCAATTTGATTATAATATTTTAACATCCCTGAATATAATTATAAAATTAGGTTCTATACTCCTTTTGAGTAGAAAATTTAAAGAAGTTTTTTCCGGGGGTGTGCTGGGACTTACTCAAAGGAGCGCACAGCCTGGAGCTTTATTCTTGCATCAATTCTGCCTTTTTTAAGTTTGTAATCGCATAGTTTTTCACTTTAAGTTTGTTAATATGTTTTCTATAATTAATTGTTTTTCTATAACAATTTTGTGGTTAACATAAGCCCCCTTCAAAGTTTGTCGACTATCAACAACTTCTTATTTATTTTGTTCGTTTTGTAGTTCAAAAGTTATGAGTGAAATTATTATTTTTTTAGTAATGTGATAGAAAAGCTAATTGTTGACTGTTAATTTTATTAAATTTATATGATATTTAATTGCAATTGCAGAATTATGACTTTAGTATTGTGTGTTTGCATTTTGAATGTGTGAAGTGCACATAAATATCTGAATGAATGACAACTAAAAAATTTTTTTATGTAGATATGTATAAAATAAATAACTAAATTGAAAAAAAAAATTAAAAATTTCGCCATAAGCTTAGAAATTGGGTATTGTTGATTATCTTTATGTATACTACTATATATTTCTAAATATTAGCCCATCCATGCAGAAGTCTTAAGTAAGTTTTTTCTTTGAAAATTTTCCCTAAATGAAATAGCTATATGTAAGTAGACATAAAAAAAATAATAATAAGACACCCTATTTTTGTGCATAGCTATCAATTTTCTTTTTGGACTACTCAGCCACCATTGCAGCAAAATAACTTGGGCCCTTATTGGAGTAATATTAACGAATTTTGGCTCAATAAGGGTTCAAAGGGCCAATATTTTTCCGATATGTGCCTGAAATTTTATAATCTTTATTCAGCCAATAAGAGCCCTATATAGGCCAACATTGACACTGCATAAGACCAATATTAAAAAAATCTAGACATAATTAAATCTAGAAAAATTAAATTTATATTGTTCCCTCAGATCATGCTCATATCGGAACTATATTGAGCTAATTTTGAGCCCAACTGGAACCAAGCTATAATTGTTGCTAGAGCATCTTAGTCTATTTGTTTACTTTTTTTTTACCCTTTTATTCTCAAGAAATCAACTTAGTAGTTCTACTAGCAGTTCAACTTGGCAAAAATCCAAAGTAAATCAAACACTTAGAGCAAGAGCCAGCTGATTTAACTATTTCTATTCCTTTTGCTGTTTTATGAGAAAAATGAGCAGTAAAAATCAATCTTAATTATACTATTTTCTGACTGTCATTTTCAAGTGTTTTCTTTTCAATTGCTATTTCCAGGTATTTTATTTTCAAGTATTATTCTATGCATTTATGTTTTGTATGTACCATTTTACAATAATATTGCTAAATGCTAGACCTTATATTTGGAATAATATGATATTCATATTTATTTTATTTTTTAAATGATTCTTTTCTAAATTACATTTCTTATAATGTGCACTTTTCATTTTTTAGAATAATGAATCAGAGGAAATAATATCTGAACACTCAAATTTCGTTGTACAGTCCTTTCAAAATCTTTCTCTTGAAAACTCTCCGGCAAACTCTCCAGCAAGGTCTGATGATTACGATCCAGGCATTGACAACATGGCACCGCCAGATGCAGGCAACATGGCTGACTCTTTTGCATTTGAAAATCCCATATCAAACCACCCATCTAGGAGAAGTGGTTTATTTGACGATGATTTAAAATCTGTCATGGTCACTCCCCCAGAAATGGTAATCGGTTGTTTTAAGATTCTTACTTTTCTATTTTTTAAAAATCTTTTTAAAGTAAAAGTTCACCTAGAAGCTTAATATCTCTAAAGCATCTTTTAGCGTTTAGAAAGACTGTAAGCATTTTTCTAGTCTATGTTTTTTTTTTAAATTCTTTAAATAATTGAAATAAAAATTAAATGATCCTGCACAAAATTGACTCCCCATTTGTTGATAAATACATTATTATCTTTGAAACACAAGATAGATAGCAGAGATGATTGTGCTCTGGAAAAAATCGGGATTTCCGGATTTTTCGCTAACCGTGATCCGGAAATCCAAGGTCCATAAGTTTCAAGAAATCATCGATGTATAAATATTCTTGTATATTTTATTTAAAAACATTAGAACTAGAATTTATACTTGGCATCTCTTCCATTTGTAAATATTTTTTCTGATAGAATAATAAATGTGGTTAGAGATAAAAGTAAACTTATACATAATTATTAATTTAAATTGTGCTGCATGTAATTTATTTAGAATTTCATGTTGTGAGAATATCAATGATTTAAATTTATAAAGACATTAATTTTTTGAAATGCGTCATTAATGATTTTACTCAAGAAATTTTCAGGATTTTTGAGTTGGGCTCACAATCACCCCTGTAGATAGTACATTGCAAAATGATTCCATAGTGTTAATCAACATGTTTTTCACATCATTGAGCTTCAAAATTAATGATAAAATGTAAAATTAATCAGTCTCCTTAACTAATTAAAGACTGCTAATTGAATCCATTCATATCAAAAGCAATACTGTTTTTCATATCAATGCATATTGGGTAAACAAAGTAATAAAGAATTTTTAAAATATATTTTATTATATATTCTAAAAAGACAACCATAACTTATCCCTACATTGATGCTTTACAAATAATTTATATTAATCAGATTAGAAGTTTCAGAGTTCTACTTAATTGGGCTTAACAAGTTTCTAATAATTGAACTCTTCCGATTGCTGAATCTCCCGATTTCATGATTGACAACAAAAATTATAACTTTCAGATTTCTTTAACAAACCAAAGCATCACACTTCACCAACAAGTAGTTTATATGTCTCTCAAAGTTACAGGTAAATCGTGCCGATTTATTTATTTATTGCTATTTTTTGTACACGATCTTTATGTTTTTAGAGGGAAAAGATGTTCTTTTTCAAGTATTTTTTATCTGTCCTTTTTTTCTCATTCAGTTGCTATTTTTTTAAATCCTGCAACATTTATTACTAATAAACTTTTATTGTTTAATAAACTTATAGTTGGCAACTGTTAAAAACCTACAGTAATTTGCATCCTGTTAACTGCTTTTTTTACCCCTTCAAAATTTAGGCTCAACCTATAACCATGAGATTTGAAACCAAACCAATAACATTAAGTACAGAAAAGGTGAAAAATGCCATTTGGAATGTTGTTGAACAGGTACTTTATTTAAGATTTTATTGTAGTTTTTAAAATTAATCCTTAGCTGTAAATATATTTCATTATTTGAGAGGCTCATGAACATTTTAACCAAATCAATTTATTATGTATTAACAATAAACTGTTTTTATTAAGCAGAATATTTTCAAATGTTCTGCAACATGACTTATTAATTTATACAAATGTTCTGGAAGCATTTCACAGTGAAAAAAATCAACTTTACGTTAAAATACTATATTTTCGTTTATCAAAATACAGGATGACACTCAGATGCACTACATTATTTTTTAAACCAAGGCAAACATTCTTGATTTGTTACTTTTTCAATCAAGTACAAAATTTTGTTGATGATGATGAATTTTCGAAGAGACAAGTGCCTAGATGCTGCACCATTTGCAAACACAAACATTCGCAGGTCTGTTGTTCCAACAATTTTTTCATCTTCATCGAAAGCATTTGGTCTTTTAGAAACGCTCTCACTTATTCAAGATACAAATTGTTCTGCAGGACTTCTGTTCTTCGACACACGTAACAGTTTTAGGCACTTTCTGCTTCTGGGTACATATATATACATATATATTAACAATTTTAAATATACATTTTAATGTGTTGTATATTTAGTTCATTGTTAAATATAGAAGAGTTCTTGTCATTTTTTAACAGAGTCAAAAACAGTTACAGAAAAATCGATGGTTGATATTTTATGAAATTAAGTGCCTTATATGTGTATACATATATATAAATGCTATGCGTGAAGGTTTTGTGCTACGAGGGTGATGGGTTAAAACAATTTTTCAAAAATGAATAAATGTTTTTAAAAGATGTAATTTTCAGGTTTTGGTAGGAATTCAAATTTGTAGCCACACTAACTTCCGTGCTGATTTTCGAGAGTAATCAGTTTGGTTTCTAAAATTTGCAAGCTTTTTAACTGCTTTCCTTACCAATTTTTTTGAAGGAAAAAAAAATCAACATATTTTTTTATTTCTTTAATAAATCGAAGGAAGGAACTTATACAAAATATAATACACAAGTTCTAAGTTGAAATTTTAATTTTTTATGTGTAAAAAAAATTAAATTTACTATCAGTTTCCTATCCCAAATTATCTTGGGTAAATGAAAAAAATTTAAATATTAGTCTTTGTATTTGTTCACATCTTCATTATCTGAAAAAGCATTACTTTCGCGAAAGCCATGTTTTTTAAACTCTTTTTTTTCTATATAAATTCATCAATCATCGTATATGCAATTGTACAAAACACGTCTGCAGTCTCACAAATAGCAAAACTCCCTAAGAAAAATTGGCAAACTACCAATCATAGCAAATTATTGTTTTTTGTTTTACTTCCAACCAAATAAAAACGTAATAAAACAAAACATATTGATGAATTCTGGTCTGCGCAAGTTAATATGGGATAATAAATATTTGCAATACATACATATCCAAATTAACTCAGGATAATCAAGAAAGCGGTTAAAATGCACATTTGTGAGAAAAAAAAATTTTGANTACTTCCCACCAAATAAAAACGTAATAAAACAAAACGTATTGATGAATTCTGGTCTGCGCGAGTTAATACAGGATAATAAATATTTGCTATACATACATATCCAAATTAACTCAGGATAATCAAGAAAGCGGTTAAAATGCACATTTTGGCGAGAAAAAAATTTTGAAAATTATTTCTTTCATTTTCTGAAGCTTTAAAGTTGATAACACATTTTAGAGAAATGATCGATAGCATAATGTTATTTTTAAGAGTATCCTGGTATTTTAGGGAAAACAAATTTCCTTCTTTCAAAACAGTGTTCATTGAGTTGCATGTTGAGACAGGAAAATTATTCAGCTTTGGAAATCTAAAAAATAACAAATTGCATAGTATGTGCTTGTTTGTGCTTATTAATAGCATTAATGCTGGAAGAATGTTTCTGAAGTGTAAAAATGTGTTAAGCGATGTATAATATTTTATACCAAAAAAATCTATTCAGTTGAGTAGAAATATTAATATTGCATAAAATTGAAGGAAATTTTTTTTTCAGCACTTTAATATGTGTTTATATTACAATATTTACCATGTTTGGTTTTCAGTTTATATGCTAATTATGTTTCATTATATTTGTGTATATTGTGACCTTGTTTTTATTTTTAAATGATCTGAACAATCAATTAATATGAAGATAAAGATTTCGTTAAATTTTGGCTGTTTTATATTTTCAGGCTGAAGAAACATTACTGACAGAATTGCACCAGAAGTTACAAAAAGTTTTTTATGATGAGTTTATGCCTTTGCAGTATGTTTTCACCACTCTATTAATATTGGCAAATGAAAAGGTAAATTGCAAATTTTCTGTATAGGGGCCTGGAGCAATTTAGTTATAAACCTTTTTGATACTTATTTTTTCAAACTATGCTTGAGTATTGTTTTCAGATAGGTATTTTAAAGCTGTTTTTTTTGTAGTTTTAACTAAATTCACCAAATTTTATTTTTTGTTTTGTTTAATGGAAATTTATAATACATGCTCTCCTTAGAGATTTGGAATTGTGGCTTATCATTATTACTCCTAGCTTTTCACTCACATTATTTTATGTAGTATGTACTACCAAATTACAAGTTTTATACTTATTTGTTATAAGTAGTGCATTATTCTGTTTATAAAATTTTATGCCTTTAAAATTAAATATTTCATGTCAAATAAAATAAAACAGGGCTGCCACAAAACAGGAAAAAGTCGGGGAATTCTATCAATCAAGAAAAATTAGGGAGATATCAAGAAAATTAATTATAATACCCAAAAAGTTAAGGAAAATTACTTAACAGAAGCTTAATGTGCCTCAAAGTACAATATTTTGTCAAAAAAATTTATCTTATAGTAATTTATATTTATTTCTTTATTTTCAAGTCTAGTAACAAGTATAAGTGTTAAGTAATATATTTTATGAAAAAAAATAAGGTCTGACTGAAATATAAATAAAACAATGTACAAAAATACAGGGGAATTCTATAAAATCAAGAACTTTGAAAAAAAGATTCAAATGACACAAAGCCATATTTCACAATAATTATCTACAAAACAAATGTAATAATTTTAAACATTTGAGAAATTATAATAACCATTAAAAAAATTGCATAGTACTTTAAAAGTTGCAGGCTATTAGAGTACAATCTGATACGTTTAGAACATTATGTCAAATGAAACATTACATCTCGCTCTTTCTCATTAAATGCAGGCTCAATATAAATGGGTTGTATGTGAGCTAACTAATTGATACTGTTTTTTTTTTTTTTCAATGCAGCTTCTAGAGACAAATTTTTTATATCTTGTTGTTCTATATATATTACTAGTAGTTTATTGCTCCCTCAATAAAATTATACAAGAAACTGTTAAAACTTTTTGTACTAAACAAAGTAATAATTCTTGAATTAAAATAGCATATTTTATTATTCATTTGAGATAAAATTAGCATTTATTATAATCAAATAGAACCAATTATAGTTTTCTAGTTTGTCACGGCCTTTTTTAAAAAGTAATTGGCATATGTATATTGTTCCAGAAAAATTTAATTTATTTTTTTCTTTGGTCCACTCTTTGATAAATAAATATTGGTTTCAGCAAACTGAATAATTAAATATTCTTTCTAACCAAATACTTGTTGCCTTCCAATTTGATACCCTGGACAATTTTTTGTAAAATTCTTTTTTCTGTCATTACACGAGAAAGACTTAGAGATGCCAAATATTACGATTTATCCGCGATTATTAAAATTTTGTCGAGACTATGGTCTTATGTTTGAGTAATAAAAAATAGCAGTTTTTGAGTATTTAATTTAAATTCTGCTTAAAATAGCTTTCTTTTCGCCCAAACTATCTACAGTTATGAAATCTTGTTGTTTGAAACTTATCTATAAAAATTTTTTCTATGTTTCTAAATAAATAAAAATGATTTGATAGAAACAAGAAATAAAGAAATCACATCATTCTTTCTACAAAAAAAGCTAAAGAATATAAACTCAAATCTAAAATGCTATGAGCATAAATTTTGAGTGGTTCAAGTGCAGAATGATAAAAAGGCAAGGCATGTTCTAGTTCAACCTAAAACCAGACAATTGATTCCAAGTAATCAATTTAATTTTATTTTATTGGGAAATAATAAAAAAATTCAGTGTTATAAGTTTTCTTAGTTAGTACTTTTATCTAAGTTACTTTTTTATAATAAATTCAAGCATAATTTTATTAATATTATGTAGATAAATAGAATTAAGTAATATATACTCCTTAAAATTGCACCAGTTTGAATTTTGTAAATGCTAATATATAGAGTAACCCAGGTTCAGTGGGGCAAACTTTAATAGAAGGTAGGGGATGGATGGAAATATCTTCATTCGCCGTTTGGTGTTGTTGTTAACAAGAGTGTTAATGGAAACAGACCACCACCATTGGCCACCATGTTCTCCTGATTTAAGCAGTATGGATTTATTTATTTGGGGAGCACTGAAGAGTTTTTTTGTACTCAATATCTGTGGATTCTGCAATGGATTTGGTTGCAAGAATCTTCTGTGCTGCTACACATGGTGTGTAGCGTTTCAAAAAGTGCTTATTTTCGATTTTGTTTTTTAAAAGCCCTTAAAGGTACTTTTTTAATTGGGTGTTTTTTAAAAGTGCTTAATTTTCCCTTTTCAATGATGAGATTTTTTTCTTCACCTTGTCGATTTTCACCACATATTATGCAAAAGTGTGCTTTTTTCATTGTTCTATACAGCGTTTTCACAATTTATTCAACCACAATCTATTTCGGTGTACCCTCAGTCGTTAGCATATGAAAGGGCCAATTTTTTTCAATGTCTACTAATTACTTTTATTTTTACAGTGCCTACTACTGGAAAATGATTCGTTGGGAGAAATAAAGGTTATGAAAGATATTCTAGAATGAGCAGAGGACATAGTGCATAAAGCACCAAAATTATTTGCTTAATATTTATATTTTTCTAACATTGTGTTGTAAATAACATTTTCATATTTATATACTATTGATGATATTGCATAATGGACCAAAATAATTTTCTGAAAAATATATTTATCTAAAACTTACGTTGTACAGTGCACCAACAAAAAAAAAAGGACCACTCTCAATAACTTTTAATCTTATGATCGGATTTACACGTTTTAAAACTCAATGGTTCGAGAGGGTGACCTCAAATGTTCTAATTATTAAATCCTGACGATATTTTAAGTTATGAAATCAGATACAAAAAATTACCTTCTCTGAATAAACATACCTTTTTTCTTTGTTGTTGACAGACTCGGATTTCTGACTTCCGAAATTGGGTGCAGCCACAATCTGGGAAATACGGTCCCAATAGTTTGGTCAGGAGAGCTCCGAAAACTTGCAACCCTTAATTTTTTTTATTATGTATTGCGTTATATCTTGTGAACTTTTTAAGTGAATTGAAAGAAATTTACACTCAATTCTGAAATAGTTCATTAAAAAATAATTCCATGCAAAAAATAACTTTTAGTAAATATTTATTATTTCATTTAAGAATGGTTGAAAAAATTTTGAATTGTAAGGTATAAACTTTTTGCATCATTTTAATGTAATTTTATAGAGCAAAATATGAAACAAAATCTGTTGAATAGATATTGAATTTCGAAACAGTCAACTACTTAAAATTCGATTTGTCAGGAACTACTCTACCGATTATGTTGAAATTTTGTACTTTACGATATAAAATTACATTCTTTAAAATGATGCAAAAATTTTATACCTTACTATTTAAAATTTTCTTGACCATCCTTAAAATAAATATTTACTATAAGTTATTTTTTGCATGGGATTATCTTTGGTTGTGAATTTATAATTGTGTGTGAATTTTTTTTTTAATCCTCTTAAAAAGTTCTCGAAATATGCAAAGTAAAATTAACATCAAGGGGCTCAAATTTTGGATCTCTCTCCTGACCAAACTATTGGGACCATATTTCAAAGATTGCGCCTACCCTATATTTTGGGGGTCAGTAGTCCGAATCCATTTAACAGAAGATATGTTTGTTTATTCAGGGAAAGTACGTTATTATCGTCTACACTTAGTAATAAGCCACCTCGAGCCATTAAGATTGAGTCTTAGAATGTAAAAAATCTGAAATCAAGTTATTTGGGTTTTTTAGATCAGTGTACATAGAAGTATATCTTTTGTTTGTTGATTACTTGTATAAATTTGTTATGATGTAATATTTTGCCTTTTTTTTTACGTTGTGTGAAATCAACTTTGAAAAATATCCATTATTTTTTATTATTCTCTGTAATTTTTTTTTCCTTGTTGAATTAAACATGACATTTCAATTTATAAATAATATCTCATTTTTTTAAAAATATCTACCTGATTTGGTTCTAGATGATTAAGTGGTTTGTAGACTTTTTTTTTTTAATCTGCCATTTTTATTTCCTTGTGTTAAAGAAGATGATGGTACGTCCTTATACTAATTACCCAAAGATTGAGTAGTCGCTAAATTTTATTGTTTACCTGACATATGTTGAAAAAGCTTGTGGGGGGGGGGCAGAAGGCTAAAAAAAAATTCTGTTTCATGAACAGGCTCATATTACAAGAAAATGAGCCTCCAATTCGCCTGGTCTCGTTATGCGTGAAATTTGTTTAGCCCTAACTGGCAAATAATGCGATTAATTGTTGTTATGAAGAATGGATGATAATTATCCAAGCAATTTTGACTAACAAAAAGCGAAAACTTAATTATTTGTGTACAAAGATTTATTTATGTGCACTTTTTCGTGTTGCTTGTTTCAAATAACTTATTTTGGCTAGAAGAAACCAGCGATAACACATTTATATCATAAAATGAAATAAAGCAGTATATATGCTAGTAACATAATTTTATTGCTTGTAAAATTAGTTAATGATTCTTATTCATCCCCAGGGTTTGTAGTTGTCCTGATTTTTTGCAAGTTCTGGACATCCCATTTAAAAAAAGTATATTTGAAAAATCGAAAGATTTGGATTTTTAATCCAATATCTTTTTACTATAATTAATAATATCAAAATTCCATTGTTCAAATTTTTGCAGGGGCTGTCTTTTAATTATATACATAGTTCAGGCATATAGCATAACCTCATTGTTTAAAATTTTTTTGGAATTCACTCATTTTATGTAAAAAAATTTTTTTTATTTAAGTGATTACTTCAGGTGTCATACAGTTATTTGTTTATGCAAGTGCAGTTACAAATTAAGTAGGGTGGACTTATGTAGTTTCAATTTTTTTTATTCGTCTCTTTAAAATTGATAGATTAATATTAACCAATATATACTGAAACTGTTTATTTTCTGTAATTCAACAGTAGTATTAAAATTTCCTGTGCATTGAAGTTGTTCAATATTGATAAAAATTACTGTTCTGAACAAATTAATTCTGAAATTAAAAATATTATATTTTTCGCAATAAATTTTTGTTATCAATACATTAAGAGAAGTAATGTATAATGTATTTTTAATATTGTTTACGTTATTCAAACATTGCCTGATGTATACTGATATTACCAAAAATTTTGCTTTTTTTTTGTCTTTGATTTACTACAAAGACTTTCATCCTGTCTATTATTAGTTTAGTAAACAACATCTGCAAATATCTTTTTTCTATTATTCTGCAGTAACTCTTCATTATATTAAGTTTGTCACGGAAATGAAGGAAAAAAAAAAGCAAGATAAGACCAAGTTCATCATAAAACAATGAAGACAACCCGAAATTTCTAAAAAAAATATTAATGAATGTGTTTTTTTTTTTCCGTATGTAATCTTTGAAAAACAGCAGATACTGAAAAAAAAAAATCATAACTACAGTAGGGAACCGATTATCCGGAACGGTCGGGACCATCGCTATTCCGAATAACTAATTTTTCCGCATTTCTGAATCGCTACAAAAAGCCAATTTTTTTATTAAACTCAACTAAAAAAAAATTGGAAATAATCTTACAAATAAGAAAAAACGATGAAGTAATACACTAATGATTATTTCCAAAATGATGGTAAGGTAAACATCTTTAAAAAAAGAAAGAAAAATCTTATGAGGAAAAAAAAATTTTTTTTTTTAAAAAATGTCGAGAAAATTTATCGAATTTTGTTCCGGTTTTTTGATTTCCGGATAACGGGTTCTGTACTGTATTACTTCTAAGAAATTTTGAATATTAAGAGATGTATTAATAGGCTGATAAATTAAAAAAGAGCAACTTTAATATGTGCTAGATAGGATTGTCCAATTTTACTTTTACTAAATAAGCATAGATTAGCTTGCATGCCATGATGTAATACCAGATCTGCTGTTATAAATCAGGGTGCATATTTTTGATTTACATTTTTTAAAAGCCCTTAGAGGTGCTTTTTTGTTCAGGGTTTGTAAAAAGTGCTAAATTTTCTATCTTTTAAAGAGAGATTTTTTCTTTGCTGTGATGATTGTCATTCTAAATTACAAAAAATGAATGACTTACACAATTTTCTCTGCATTATTTATCAGGAACTAGTTATTTCATCATGATTATATGCAGTTTCTAAATTTTATGCTTATAAATTAAGAACTCTAGAAATTTTTTTTTTATTACTGCACAGATCCTACTTATGATTTTTTTTGTTTAGTGCTTATTTTATGTTGAAAAATCTGGCTATGCACCCTGCAAGTATTCTTAAGTAAATGAACACAATTTTTTTAGACCTCATTTTAACCCTTATTAAAACATAATTTCTGCCTCAACAATCATACTGGCACTTATTATAATATTTCGAAAAATAGGTATAAATATTGCCATAGCTGTTTTTATTTTTACAATAAATGGTCTTGTTCATTTATAGAGATGTTGATGAAACGCACTTGTTTCTCTTGACAGCTAGGGCTGATTATTTTTATATTCAAATAAATTACTCCAAAATAACATCAGAATTTCAAGTCCCAATAGCAAAAATTGTTTATTGAATTTATAAGTTAAGTCAATAAATTTTATTGAACATTATAAAAGTACATCACAGTTATTGCCAGTACAATTTAGAAGAATCTTTCAACGTAACTTCAATAAGAAATTTCATTCCTCTGAAATAATAATAAAAGAATTAACAAATTTGTAGACCAACATATATTGTTTTTTAGACTAATAAGACATAAAAAAAAGTTTTATGCATCTATATATTAATAGAAGAGAAGTAGATGGATGTGATTTATCTTAATTTGAAGAAAGTAAAATAAATTTGCCAAAGCAACAGCACAGCAACCCAAATTTTTTACTTTCTATGACTGCAATTGAGCATGAGGTTCTAATATGTGTCTCAAGAAAAGGTGTTAATCTTATTATAGTACCACTTTGCAAACCAAGTACAAATAACAAATGATACAAATATAATAATAATGATACTTTGATAACAAATGTACTTTTAAACAAATTTTAAGTTTTCTTTTGCTGGCTACTAATTAAGTGTCAAAAAATCATAACTGCAAAATGTAAGATAAAAAATAACAGAACTAGAAGTTCCTAATATCAATTTAGACTGTGTTTTACCAATTTATAATGAATAAAATAATCTTAACTGAACTTGCCACAATCACAACTTATAATATTATGAGCATTTGTATTTTAATATATTTAGCACTATACCCTTTCTGGATAATGGTCTAGTTTTAATTGAAATCTGGTACTTTTCTTTAAAAGAAGTATTTACTATGGCAAAATACCAGAAAAAAAAATAGTCAAGTTTCACAATTTAAATTGATTTTCCGAATGAAATATACTTCAAATACTGGAAATATGATAGAAAATAAATCCCATGTGCAATTGAATAACCATTTCAACACATAAATTTAAAGCAAAATGAATTTCAGCTTACGCTTCTAGAATAGTTTTTTAAATGTGGATAAGGGTGGATTGATTAGGTCTCATTTTAAATTTTTCGGCAGTAGTGCTTACCACATTACTACTTTAAGAACTCTACATTTATATTTTCTGCCACCTTAATACGACCAGAAGTTGTAAACATGCATTTTTAATGTATGATGTTGTGGCACCCTATCTCTTTTATTTTCCCTATATTTCTGTTCCCCTATTCCCTATTTTAGGAAAATTTCAACAAAATTCCAGACCCTATTTTACCTATATACTGTATTTGTAATTTTTCATAGGAAAAACATAATTTTTACTTATACTATCAATAAATGAAGATATCATGAAAATATTCTACTGAAATCAGAAAGGGAAGATAAATGCAAAATCAACTAAAAAATTTTATTTAAATTGCCTGATTTTTTTTAAAAATCAATTAATTTAACAAAAACTGATTTTTCAAAAAGATTATTAATTTAAGTAGAAAATATTTCTTATATAATTTTTAAATACATTGTTTAGAGTGAGATTAAGAGTGATTTCAGTGATAATGACGGTTTTTTACTAAGAAATAATGAACGGGATAGATTATTATATTTACATGCCCCTTTCATTGTTACAGCAAAGAAACCATTTAAATAAACTGATTTTTATTTTTTTAAAAGTAAGAAATATTTTTAAATATAATTAAAATATCCGTAAAATTTTATTAAATATAATTAAATTCCTTCTTTGGAAAAAAAAAAAACTCTCTAAAGTCTGATTTTATTGATAATGAAGATTTTTTTTTATTAAGAAATAATAAAAGGATAAGCTTGTAAAACATTCATATTCCTTTCATTAAAAGAAACCATTAATTTAAATTAACTGTTTTTTTTAAAAATATTAATTTATATGAAATATTTGTATTCAATATAATTAATAAATATATTATTTATGGTGGGAATTTGAAGGTTTTTTACTAANGTTAATGTACCTTTTAATAATATATCCTTTAAGCAGCACCCGCTTTTTTTTTGCAAGGTGTATAATTTTTAAAATGAATTTTTTTTTTTTTTTTTTTTAAAGTAAGAAATATTTTTAAATATAATTAAAATATCCGTAAATTTTTATTAAATATAATTAAATTCCTTCTTTGAAAAAAAAAACTCTCTAAAGTCTGATTTTATTGATAATGAAGGTTTTTTTTTTATTAAGAAATAATAAAAGGATAAGCTTGTAAAACATTCATATTCCTTTCATTAAAAGAAACCATTAATTTAAATTAACTGTTTTTTTTAAAATATTAATTTATATGAAATATTTGTATACAATATAATTAATAAATATATTATTTATGGTGGGAATTTGAAGGTTTTTTACTAAAATAATAAAGGGGATATGCATTTAAATTATCATATTTCAAAATAAACTAAAGAAAAAGGCGACTGAACAAGGATAAGAGAGACATGAAACTTTAAAATTACAATTTTCCATTAAATGCATGTAAAAAAATTTTCTTATAAAAAAACATATTTCAATTTTACCCATTTAGTTTTATGCATTTTTAAATGCTGTGCTTTTAAAACTTCTTAACTCTGAAGTTTGTAAATATCAAAACTTGTTCTATTCAGAGAAATTTATTAATTTTTTTTTCTTTCAAATTTAGACAGAGTAAATATTTTTTGATCTTGCGTTAATGTGATGAAAGGTTTTCTCAAACTAATTTGCTCTTTTTTAGATATCTAATTGACAAATAGTCTCCCAATCTTTAACATTCTTTAGCAAGTTAAGCTGGAAAAATATTACTATGTTTTTATTTAATCAATGAATAGTTTTAAATAATTAGATAAAAATTTTATTTTAAGCATTATAAACAAATTTTAACAGATGCGAATATAAAAACAAAAAATCATGATTTTTGCCAACTATTCAAAAAGGAGGAATTATAGCAGCCAACACTTTAAATGGATGTTAGAATTATTTCCTTTGAATCTCAATATCTTATTACAGTAACTGACAATTTTAAGATAGGCCATTTTAGAGGTATAGTGTAGAAATTTTCTATTTTTTTTTTTTGAATTTGTGATTTTTAGATTTCAAATTAAATTCACTGACAATTTCAGGTTTTCCCATTTCTCCCTGATAAGTAAAAAAAATTGAGAATGATAAGTTGCCACCTCAACAGCAATTCATTTTGGATTTGTTTATATTTGGATCACATTAAAATTAAGTTAGTGTAATGCTCATTTAATATAACAAAATTTAAGCATTAAATTATTTAACATACTTCTTAAGAATGGTAGTTGAAAATGTTTCCACATTGTAGTTAAAAAAGAGGACACTTTTTTGACTGACCCTAATGTCAAAATTGAACATATTTTTATTGTAAAAACAAATTGTGCACGTTTTCTTCTTTTAACCAACAATAATTTTGAGTGAAACAATGCAATTCCCTGGAAAAGAGACTCACCTAATTTTGTTGATGGTACACTATCAGATTTTAATGGACGCTGTCCACAAATTTGAAAAAATAGGTCTTCAGGGCTAGGAACTTCTTTTACTCCTTTCTTGTCAAAAAACTGAAATATAAATAGAGTAAAGGAAATGTTTAAGAACAGTATTCTAAATTACCATATACTAGAAGTTCATACTGTGTTTTATATTTTAAATTTGACACAAAATGCAGAACAAAACTGTGTAACTTACATTTGATATATTTGTGCAGTCCCTTAGTAAGTATTCTAAAGATCTAGGATGAGTGATTTCAACAGCTTGACTTACATCAATCACCCAAGTTTTGTCTTCATACCATAGTAGATTGTATTCGCTGAAATCAGCATGTACTAACTTGCATTTGGTGTACATATCTTTCATTATCTATGAATTGAAAAACATGATTATATTACTGAAAATTATTCTTTTTAATATGAAAAAATATTATATTGGATTGAAAAAAATTCATTGTTTCGATTTAAAGAAACAAAAATCCATTCAGTACATTTAGTTACATTAAAATCCAATATACCCAAGTTTAAGTCTAGAGGTGTGGCCCATTTATTTGCTCGGTAGCGGGCATATTACAAAATGGAAACCAGCAGAACTTCTCATTTTCTTAAATTATGATATAAAGACCATTACTATCAGTGATTTTGTTGGAAAACTAAACCTAAAAACTTAAGACCCTGGATTGCAGAATTCCCAGCTCATTCTTTACTAAAAACAGATCCCTATCTAAAATATAAATCTTAAAACAATCTAAAATCTTTTCAAATTATGAAATCCTACATGAAAGGAAATAAATTAGAACTTAGAATTTTGTTTCAAAAATTAAAGAAAAAAGAAGAGAGTGAAGATAGTCTCCAAGATGAAATATATAAAAATGTGATATTGAACAGACAATGTGATATAAAGTTTCTACTTCTTTATCCACCTTTTTGCATGCACATTTATAAGGATTACATTGATTGTATCCTTAATTCAAATACAATTAATAAAGAATTTCAAAAATATAGGATAAGAGTTACATTCGTCATCTTGGATTCTAGGTGAAATTTTTAATTTGTATTTTCACAATATTTTTTTGTACTTCACAAACTTTTGATGATTTAATATTTGGTAACAGAATACCTTTAATAAAAGGTAGAAGATAAAGGGGTAACTTTATTAGACTGGGAGAAATAGCGCTTGATAATTTTTAGAGCTTCTATTAATTTTTTATCAAAACTGTAAAGCACTAAAATTATGCTATTTGGGGTTTTGAGTGAGTAATTTAAAATTGCACATTTCTCAGTTTATAGATTTTATAAAATATAATCTTATTGTAGTTTAAATTTACGTAAATTTATTTGGCTGAAGCAAAAAATTTCCTTTATGGATAATTGGATCAAAATAAAGATACTTAGGAAAAAAAAATTTATAAAACTGTACTAGCTTTCAAAAACTGTTGATTGCAGAATCGCATAAGCATTATTTTGTGAGAAAAAATTAAGGGAATTTATAATATTGCAAATTTTATATTTCAAATTCTGATTGGGTGACGGCCTTATTATTTACATGTATCAAAAGCTAATCCTAAATAGAGTAAATATCCATAATTAACTTGTGAAAATTAAATGGAAAAAGGATTAAAAACATAATTGGAATGTTTCCATCCCATCTCCACCCCTACGACAGTCGAGTTTTGTTGGGGGACGAAGGGCCTTTTGAGGAAAAGTAAACGGTACTCAAAATAATTTTTTTCTATTACCTATTACTTTTAGTGAAGATAAAAAAAATTTGTTTTCAAAGTTTAGTTTAATTCTGCTTACATAAACTATCTTTTTTATTTTTATTCGGCTTACTATCTTTTTTATTTTTTGCAATGGAGTCTTGTATTGTTTGCGTATTTGATGTGCTATAGCTCGTAAGCAGAACCATTGATTACTAATATTAACTTTTAAAAAATAAGAATGACTCTGAAAAGTATGGTATGCAATTTTTAAATGCAAAAGTGTACTTACTCTATTTTTATTATTGTTTATGAACACATTCCATTTACTGAATAAAACACTAAAAAATAAACCTGTTCAACTACACTTAAATTATAGAAATCAGTTATGATTTTGGAGATGATGGCAATTATATAAATTTTACGCACTCAGATCAAATGTCAGAAACAAAAGTGGTAGAGTATTAATATCATGTATATTGTGGTTTGGAAAAATATTCAAAACTAATTTTCATATTTTTAAAAGAGCATGCGCAACTAATTTTTTATTAATAAATGATAGTGTCACATCAATTTAATGAAACAGAGAAAGTATTTGTTATGAACTAATTTTTAAACATTAACATTTTAAAGCTAATATTAATGAAGTTTTAACTAAAAAAAAAAGCAACTTGATCCAAAAAAAGGCAATTGAAAATATTGGGATTTGAACTCTAAAAATTGGGTACATTGTAAAGGAAGTGAATTAAGCTCAAGTCAGCTTAAAAAGAAAAAGCAAATATGATTTAGGATAAGTGTAATAAATTATCTCAGCCAAATACATTTTAACAACATAAAAAAATTAATTAATAGTTTTTAAAATGCTATACATACATCCACTGTCTGTTCAAATATTATTGTCATGTCCTCAAATGGCAGATCAACATCTCGTAATTTTGGTGCGGGTAACATGTCTTTACCAATGAAAGTCATTACTAGAACGTGTTTTTTTAGTGCAATCACTTCAGGGCATGAAATATTTGCTTCCTTCATTCTATATAAAATAATAACAGTGACTTTTTAAATTATTATAGAATAAGAAACTACAATTTTAAGGACATACCAAAGTGAAAGTGATTATATTTTTCATTTGGTATAATTTTTAATCATGAATAAATACAAAAAAGATACATTGTGTTTGTTCATAATTGAGCTAAAAAAAACACAGCTTTTTTAATTTTATTTAGCAAACCAAGAAATATTTCGTTCAATATATAGATAAATATATGCATATAAGATATTTTACAGCTTAGAATATACTACATGCTTATTATTTCTGTGATGCCATTTGCATAGAAAACTTATTAAAATGCATAAAAACTGCCTTACAGAATAATAGCTTACTGTTATTTGTGTCAAATAAACAAATGGACATTAGTACAAAAAAAGTTAGAATTAATTTTACTATGCCAACACAACACTATGTAATGAACTTAAGACTATTTTCTTTTAAGCTATAAATATGAATAAAGTAATGAGAAGCCAAATTAAAAAATAATAATTTTAGGGGTTTAAATGAAAAATTGCAAAATAAGAAGCAAAACTAAAACCATACAACTGTACCATCTGTGTTAAATAAAATATTAAAAATTACAGCAAAGAGTAAAAATACCCAATAGAAACTTATTGTTTTACACTACCTGTCTTAGATTGATATATAATATTTATTTGATTAATTTGCTATCACTACAAAGATTGTGACAAGAATTTGATTCAACAGTAAGTTCAAACTTAGATATGCCATAGGATCTTGCACTATATTTTCAAATGGCACACATTGTGATTTTGAATAAGGGAGCTTCTCTAGTTCAGACAGAATGCAATTTAAAGAATTATTATTGCGATGCATTCTAAAGCCTAATCCCCATTAAACTTAGGGATGGAATTTCAGAGCGCTGCAAAGCTGTCATTGGCAAAATTAACTATCACTGCCAGACATTGATTCTTTCTTTCTGAAATCATAACTATTTTAATAAATGGGCTTACAACATTGTTTCAAAAGCTTACGTGAGGCTTGTAATGCTCATTATAAAAAAATATGGTACAAGCCCATTAGGTGAAACATTTCAGCACAGCAGCGAGTGATACAGATTAGTACAGCATCTACAGATTATTTTTCATCAAAAATTTCTTTTCATTTTTGAAGAGCGAACAAACAAATGCAGGGTGCATAGGCAAATCTTTCAACAAATAAGCACCTTTTTAAGAACTAAAAATATTTTTAAGCACTATATACACTAACAGAATGCAAAATTATTTTTAAAAACTTTACATGATCCTGATAAAATAATTAGTTTTTGACAAAGAACTTTTTTCTTGATTATATTCGCCACCACAAAAAGATCGAAAGATTTTTCGGTACAATTTCTGAGGGTGGAAAATGAAGCCAGAAATTGATAATATCTTGCAAAATGCAGCAGAGTTGCACACGAGAGTGCAAGAATCTCACCGAACCCAGCTCAGTAGATGCACATGCAATAAAAAAAAGCACCTTTAAGGGCTTTTAAAAAACGAAAATCGAAAGTAAGATTAGGCTGAATTTATACAACAATAATCTCCACATGACTGTTAGTGTTGCAGACAAATTCCGATTTAAGAAGATATTGCTGAAGATTCACTTTCTAAATTCTGCGACCAAAAGTACAATGACTAATAGACAAGGCTTAATTATCTCAGTAATAAATATACAAAAACAATTATAACCTTAATAGGTTCCTCATTTCTTTTTCAGCCCACATATGAATAACTTTTCTTGGATTTTGTTTAGAGAAACGATATTTGAAACGATGATCGTCCTTAATGTATTGGTCTCGGTTGATGAACTCGTTTAAAGTTGTTTTGAAAACTTTAATGGCAAATTCGCGAACTGGTTCTTCAGGAGGAGACTGATCCTCAGGAGATGGCTGATCCTCAGGAGAAGACTCTTCTTCAGGCCTAGAAGAAAGTTAAACATATTTATTTATCAATGATAACCTCATTTTGTAACAAGCATATATGAATAAGCAGAAATGACTTTAAGGAATAGAATAGATAAAATACCAAAAGTTTTACAAAGTACCATTTTCAAGACATTAGAGCTTCTTAAATTTTTCTCTAATTGGAACTCCTTTTGAAATCTAAACATTTTAAGTGCGTAGATTTAATATTTCCCACCTTTGCAAACATATACAATGCACATAGAAAATGCGATACAGAGATAATGTCTATTTCGCACAGTACAGGGATTTATTTTGGAAGAAACTTATTGCTACCAAAAAATTGGAGAACATCAAAAGCAATGGAAGATATGAAAAATGACCAATACAAATATTTAGCTAAGCATAATAAGTATAGTTTGAATTTTAAATAAAAGTTGATGCAGTATGAAGAATTTTCGATTTGCAGTTTAAAAAAATATATATATTTTTAGAAATTTTATTTTTATACAAATTTTTATAATCAATATAACCTCTATAACTATAATTTAATTTTAAACAGAATTTATATTATCTTTATTTTCTTAAATAACTATAAGTACACTTATACTAAATGAATTAAGTGCACTTAAATTATTTTTAGTTTAATGTACATTCAATCTTAAAGAAGAATTATAGATAAAATAATTGCAAGCAGATAGAATTACTTGTGTTTACAGGTTTAATTTTCATAACTACCGAAAATAGTTTCTTTTGTTAAACATTACTTCATTAAGATTTATCCCTAAAAATTTAATTTTCATTATAATGAGTTTTTATTATTTTCCAATAAAAATTTTGTTCAGAATATGTGGCATAATAAAATAGAGATAATTTAGAGAAATAAATAAGTAGGAAATCAATACTATTAGATTAGCAATTTAAAATTTTATAATATTTAATGTTTTTTCAAAAAANATTAAGAAAAAAAAAAAAAAAAAAAAAAAATTCCTCCAAGTTAAGTTGGCTTTAAAAAAACTATAAAAACTTCGTATCTTTGTTTGAATATAGTGCCAAACTTCTACAATTAAAGTGCCTATTAATCAACATAATTTTAAATTCAAATAAAAACGGACAAACTTTTCTTTTATTCAAAGCTCTATAATTTGTTTTTAATAATTCAATTAGATTAAAAAAATATGTACAGTCGAACTCGTTTATAACGAGCTCGGATTTAACGAGAACTCGGATTTACCGAGGGAAACGAGAATATTTGGTTGGATCAATGTTAAGTCTATGGAACAGAAGTCGCTTTTAACGAGCAATACCCGGTTTTAGCGAGCAATATTTTTCTGTCTTGCAATCTTTTTTTCAAAATGATAAGAAATGCGCTCGAAATAAAAAAAAAA